TAAGAAGATCCCTCAACTTTAACTCCAACTAAATTAGATGCCTATTAGATAGACTAACATTTAGTCATTCCGTATCCTAGCCGTGTAAATGGATGATTATTAGCGAGACTTAGTTGTTTAAACTTAGGTTCTCGGCCCTTTGTAAAGATTTCAAGTTCTCCTTCCTGCATAAGCTTGCATCTGTTGACAAAAGTAGAAGAAGAAAAGAGGATTGAACTAGCAAGAATGAGGATACAAATAGCAAACCCTAGAAGGGTTGTACTCGCTATAGAGCACCCCACTACAGGCTAGAACAATAAGATAATATTCTGACACACCCCCATAGCCAAAGTGGGGTGTAATCAGCAGAGCAGGCAAAGCAAAACAAGCTCAGGGTGGATCACAATGTCACCACACATTCTGAGCACAAGTTCAAGAAGAAATAGTTTAGAGTTCACAATTATAAGCAAAGCTAGTGGTAGTCACAACGGGCAAGTGAGGAGGAGGAGGGAGAGTGAGGGGAGAGGAGACAGGAGGCGACGGCTGAAGCTGCAGACACACGGGCAACAGGAGGCAGACTGGCACAGCGGCTACCGGACAGCGCCCGGACTACAGGAGTAACAGGCCCCGCGGCTCAAATAGCGGCGGACGGGCAACGGACCCACGGGCGGCTGGCACAGCTGGCTACGACTGGGCTACCGGGACAGCGCCCCGGACTACAGGTGCTGCTGACGACAAACTGGCAACCTCCGCTCATCCTCCCGCACACAGTCCCACCCCCCTGATACACACCCACTGCTACACCACTAGCTCTACTCCCACGCACCCCCCTAAAACCCTAAACCCAGTCTCCCACACAACCACCCCCCTCAGCGACAGCTGCAGCAGTGGGAGACGAAGGAGGAGGAGGAGCAAAGGGAGGAAAGTACACTGGCCACCCCCATACCTGCCACCCGACAGCGCGCCCCTCCCGTCGTCCTTCGAGGCGACCTGAGGGGGCCGCTTGCGGCCCCCGAAGGAGCCGCGACGGGCGACGGGAATTGGGGGGGAGGGGAGAAAAAGGGGGGGGGGGGGGACGGGGCCGGGGCCGCGACGAGGGGCGGGGCCGCGACGGTCGGGGCGGGGCCGCGACATAGGGCGGGGCCGCGACATAGGGCGGGGCCGCGACATAGGGCGGGGCCGCAACGTTGGGCGGGGCCGCGAAGGTAGGGCGGGGCCGAGCCGGGCAGGCGCACGGGCGGCGACGGGCCGGGGCGGGGCCGCGACGAAGGGCGGGGCCGAGCTGGGCAGGCGCACGGGCGGCGACGGGCCGGGGCGGGGCCGCGACGTAGAGCGGGGCCGCGTCAAGGGGCGGGGCCGCGACGTAGAGCGGGGCCGCGTCAAGGGGCGGGGCCGCGACGATCGGGGCGGGGCCGCAACGTAGTGGAGAAGCCCGCCGCGCGCCTCGGGGCGCACAGCGGGCAATGAACCGCCGCGCGCCTCGGGGCGCACGGCGGGCAGAAAACCGCCGCGCGCCTCGGGGCGCACGGCGGGAGGAAAAAGTAGCAGCGGAAGCGAGGTGGTAACCCACCCACAGGATCGATCCAAGGGGATCGACCTGCTCTGATAGCATGACAAAAGTTAGAAGAAGAAAGAGGAATGAACTAGCAAGAATGAGGATACAAATAGCAAACCCTAGAAGGGTTGTACTCGCTATAGAGCACCCCACTACAGGCTAGAACAATAAGATAATATTCTGACATCTGTTTCTTCTATTCTTCATCCTTAAACTTTTCCTCTCGTCGGTTGCCTTTTCTTCATATTTGCATGTTTTAGTTCATTTTTTTCTCAACCTCGTCTTAGGTTGTACATAAAGATTGTAATAGGTTGCATGTTCAGTCCATTTCGTTCTCTCTCGCTCGTTCTCTCTCTCCCGTTCTCTCTCTCCCGTTCTCTCTCTCCCGTTCTCTCTCTCCCGTTCTCTCTCGCTCGTTCTCTCTCTCCCATTCTCTCTCCCGTTCTCTCTCGCTCGTTCTCTCTCTCCCGTTCTCTCTCTCCCGTTCTCTCTCTCCCGTTCTCTCTCTCCCGTTCTCTCTCTATCGTTTTCTCTCTCTCGTTCTCTCTCGTTTTCTTTCTCTCTCGTTCTCTCTCTCTCTCTCTCTCTCTCTCTCTCTCTCTCGTTCTCTCTCTCTCTCTTTCTTTCTCTCTCTCTCTCTCTCTCTCTCTCTCTCTCTCTCTCTCTCTCTCTCTCTCTCTCTCTCTCTCTCTCTCTTTCGTTCTCCCTCTCTCTTGTTCCCTCTCTCTCGTTCTCTCTCTCGTTCTCTCTCTCGTTCTCTCTCTCTCTCTCTCTCTCTCTCTCTCTCTCTCTCTCTCTCTCTCTCTCTCTCTCTCTCTCTCTCTCTCTCTCGTTCCGTCTCTGTCGTTCTCTCGTTCTCTTTTGTCAAATCTCTCGTTCGTTCTCTCTCGTTCGTCCACTCTCTCGTTCTCGCTCTCTCGTCCTCTCTATCTCTCTCTCTCTCTCTCTCTCTCTCTCTCTCTCTCTCTCTCTCTCTCTCTCTCTCTCTCTCTCTCTCTCTCTCTCTCTCTCTCTCTCTCTCTCTCTCTCTCTCTCTCTCGCTCTCGCTCTCGCTCTCGGTCTCCGTTGTTCTCGCTCAACGTATTTGTTATATTCTCTTCGTTCGTTTACTGTATGGTCATGTGTTTTTCCCTTTATCTCGTTCTTTACTTTCGTTTTATGCCTTAGTACATTTTCTCCTTGTTATTTGTCAGCTCTAACCCTTCAATGCTCATGGCGTTTTTCTTGGCGCTTGTATTGTTTCATTTGTTTCTTCATTATTCATTTTTCTTGTAATTTCATTATGCCTTGTTATTTCCCATTTGCCTTCCCTTCCTCAACCCAGCTTTGTCTTACTTTTCAGGCAGTCGAGCTCAATATGAGAAGTAGACTGATATTGCTTGTGACTTACAGTATAGGATAGATAATGTCTTGGTGATTTAGGTTTCTATTTCATATGCGGTTAATATGCTTTGTCAGTTGGCTTCGTGCGTGCGTGTCTGTGTGAATGTGTATGATCATGTGTATGCGTTGTGTTGTGTGCGTATGCGTTTTCATTCATGTTTCCATTGCATTAATAACACATGTCTGTGGGGTTTAAAAATTGGGATCAAACTATCATTTCCGATAAGGTTCTTTGCGCACTCAGTGAGTGTGTCCATTCGAACTGGATTTGATGGAATTGATCTGTTTTTTATATCACACAGATTGTGTTGTTTCATGTAACAGTTGGATGATTCAGAAATTATGCTATTGAGCTCCCCCCCATGCTAGGCAGGGGATGCGGTAGCATAGGGTCTGCGTCAATTAACTGTTACGCACTTCCATCATGCTGTGCATTTATTTCATTACGGTACCGGTAGTACCGTATATGCATTATACTTATGCATTTGCATTTACTTCATCTACTTATAACAACAGCAGACATATGCATCACGGAATAAACAGTTATGCATTCACAGTACATCATTTTGGCAACTCATGAAATATAGGTTCAGTCAAAGTAAACTAGGAAATGAGAAGGAATGTGGTTCAGCACGTGGTAAATTGACGCGGCAGATACATAGCAGTCAGTCATTTAGCTAGTACCATTCACTATATTTTTTCCCTCTATTTTTTAAAGGTATTGAGGATTGAAAAAAAAATTGTACATAACGATTGTAATAGGTTGCTTCGCAACCCAAAAAAAAAAAAAAAAAAAAAACTTGGGTCAGCTAACCGAAGTCTATGCTGCATTGGTGGCGCTGGTGAAGACTGAGCATTTTGTGAAGTTAGGAAACGGTCGAAGGGTTTTCCACACGGCAGAAGAGCCCCAACGTGATCGCTTCACCCAAATTTGCATGTGACAAGTCTGTTTACGTTCCGTCTCGTTCAGTTCAGCATTCGACAAGAGCATCCTTCCACATAAGCACATCTTCCAGGGAGGCTTTGTCACCTTCTGGCGCTCTTGTTCCGTGCGTTTCAGCCTGGTACCAATGCGCAATACCACTATGGATAGTATAAAAACCTTTAAAAACCGTGATACATGACTAGAAAACGAACGCAATATATATTTTGTAGGCGCATTTCTTTAAACGAGTCATCAGTCCCCGTTCCGTGCAGCCAGTTAGTTCGACTGCTCGCGTCATTCAGTTGATATTGGCCATGTGCATTGCATGGTGTTCAGCAGCCAATCTCGATCATTCAGCAATTATTGATAAAAAAAGCTGTGAGCGATCCATATTCGAAGCGAAGCTGTTGTTGCTGCTTCTAGGTAGGCAGTAGTCTGCGTTTTGTTGCTCAGTTTAGTCCCTCGATTAGCGTGTGGTCTTTGGGCCTTTCTTTCACTGCTAGCTCGCACTCGTTCTCACCTCGAATACTTGCGCACCATTCCCTTGCACGAGTGAACGATCGTTCCTTACATGCTCGTTCTGCAGCTCCGCAGTCTAGAGATTAATCGAGATTATTAAAATCCAGTACGAAGTCGTTTCGAGCAGTCCACTCCACAAGCCTCCTTAAATCTACGGTTGTTTTCTTTACCATATTCTTGCGTCCAGGTTCGATTTGAAAGCATCGGCGTCGAAAGCTTGGCGGTAGTCCGGGCTATTAGTACAGATGCATTTTTAGAATCAACTTACGACTCGCAGCCATGCATCGATCCTTCAGAGAGTCACGGCTATGCTCCAACTTACGGCTTCCGCGTATGAGAAGTTTTTCTTCTCCACCCGTCCTCCTCGTAGCCTCCATCTTCGTTGTCGTCCTCTCGTTACTGTCACAATCATCTCCCGTTACAGCGCGGACCGTTCCGCGAAATCTGCACCTGGTGTGCGAGCCGGGATGCCTGCACAACGGCACGTGTAAGCTGAACCCTAAAACGAAAGAGCCTGAGTGCGAGTGTCAGCCGTACGATCACGAGACGGGGCTGTACTTCCGCGGGAAATCGTGTCAAACGGAGGCTGTACGATGCAACGGCACGTGGTGGTGCGAGAACGGCGGGAAATGCGTCGCGATGGGTGCTCAGGGGTTCCTCTGCTCGTGCCCTCATAAGTTCCAGGTGCGGCTCCCTCTCCCGTACATCGTACGTGAGTCGACTAGAACAGCGGGATATGCGATTAGCGATGGGCGCCCAGTGGTTCCTCGGCTCGTGCCCTCACAAGTTCCAGATGAGCCGTCAGGAGATAAAACAGGGGGCATGAGAAAGGGTTTCTCTGCTCGTGCCCACATCAGTTCCAGGTGCGGCCCTTTCGCGTATATCGTACATGCGTCGATTACAAAAGCTGGAGACGCGTCGTGCTGGGTGCTTAGGGCTTTCTTTGCTCGTGCCCTCACAATACAAGTTCCAGAGGGACCAAAAAAACGGCATGAGAAGGGATGTTCGCTGTTCCTTTACTCCTCTGTTCATGAGGAGGAATGTTCGGCACCCCTCTTGCCCCTCCCTCCCCATCTTCTCCCCCTCCCCCCCCCACCCCCCTCCTCTCTCCCCTCTCCCCCGCTCGCCCTTTCCCCTCTCTCCTCCACCCCTTCTCTACTCCTGCTCCAACCGCAGGGCTCCAAGTGTCAGACGCCTGTGTGGTGGCCTGCAGCACGGGGCTCTGGTGTGATGACGGAGGCATGTGCGTGTTTTTGGGTCCCGAGATTTTTTTTTTTTTTTTTTTAATCCCCACCAACTCTGCCTCTGCTCACACCTCAGGGCTCCAAGTGTCAGACGCCTGTGGTGGCCTGCAGCACGGGGCTTTGGTGCGCCAACGGAGGCATGTGTGTGTTCTCAGAGGAGGCCAACGCCACCATCTGCAAGTGCCCTTCCACGCACACTGGCGCCAGCTGTCAGACGCTGGTGGAAGCTCAAGATTTCGGTGAGTCCTGTGGTTCTAATATCGAGGATGATTGTAAAAGGTGCTATCTACAAGTGCCAACGGAGGCATGTGCGTGTTTTCAGAGGAGGCAACGCCTCCATCTGCAAGTGTCTCTCCACGCACACTGGGGCGAGTTGCCAGACCCTGGTGGAGGCACAGGATTTCGGTGAGTGTAGTGTGATTACGTGCGGTAATGAGCAACGTAACGGAGCTGAGTGTAACGAGTATGTGTTCTCAGAGGAGGCAACGCCTCCATCTGCAGTTGTCTCTCCACGCACACTGGGGCGAGCTGCCAGACCCTGGTCGAAGCACAGGATTTTGGTGAGTTGTGGTTCTAATAATGGGGATGATTGTAAAGGGCACCGTCTGCAAGGGCCAACGGAGGCGTGTGCGTGTTCTCAGAGGAAGCCAACGCCACCATTTGCAAGTGCCCCTTCACGCACACTGGGGCGAATTGTCAGACGCTGGTGGAAGCGCAAGATTTTGAGGACCAACTTCACCACCGCTCATCATCCCATCCAACTCCACACTCGATCTCGTAGTGGATGAACGGGACCCCCTCTGTTCCTGCCTCCTCTCATTCCCCTGCCGTGCTCTTCCCCACTTCTCCCCCCACCCCCACCCACTCAGGTCCATCGGAGCAGCTGCGGACCAACTTCACGTCGCCCCTCATCATCCCATCCAACTCCACGCTCGACTTGATAGTCGACGAGCGAGACAAGTACTTTCACACCTTCTTCGCCCTCCTTGGCGCTCTTGTCTTCGTGTGGGTGGTGTCTCTCTGCTTCGTGTACCACTCGCGTGAGCGCAGGCGCAGCAGCAGAGCGGTTGCTGTGGTCGGGGTGCTGGAGGCCCCTCCTCCTTCCAGATTGCACAAGCAGCAGCAGCAACAGAAGCAAAGTCTGCTGAAGCAGTCTAAGAAGCAGCAGAAGCAGGCGCAGCAGCAGCAGAATGGGAAGGTGAGCGAGATTCAGGAGAGCGAGCAGCACCAGTCGGGCAGGGGTTTCGGCTCGTCGGAAGGTCCGTTGGTGTATACGTCCTCGTCCTCCTCTGCTGTCCTCTCCTCTGTTCCGGTTCGCCGGAATCCCAGCAGCGGCATTAGCGGCAGCAGCAGCAGCAACAACATTACGGAAACAAGTGCCATGGGTAGTGCTGCTGGAAGCAATAGTAGAAGATATATGCCTCCTGAAATCACACAAGGTATGGGTAATGGAAGCGGTGGGGACAGTATTGAAGAGCACGGGAATGCGGTAGATGCAGAGGTGGCAGCGCTATTTGCTGTCCCACAGGGTTCCTCTGTTGCTGCTGGTCCATCTGTTGTCCTCCCGGCAGCACCAGAAGCAGCTGCGGAATATGCTTCTGGGAAAAACGCTGCAGCAGCAGCAGGAGTGCAAGCTGCAGGAACAGCAGCAGAAGTAACAGATGGATCAGCAGCTGGTGCAGAAAGAGGAGTTGTATCATCATCAGCAACATCAGCAGCAACAGCGGCAGCTGTGGAAGCAGACTCACGCTCTCTGCTATTGAGCTCGCTTTCGTCTCTTATTCGAGAGGTAGATACGAGCAGGCAAATGGACGGCTCAGATTGTGAGCTGAATATGGAGTCTGGGGTTATGGGTTCGCTGCCAGGGGGTGGTGGAATGGAAGAGGGTGATTTGGCTGAGGTTCCCTTGTGCCGGGCGGGTGAGGAGAGCAGTAGTGGCGGGAAGATGAAGAGTTCAAGAAGAAAACGAGCCGGTACTGGGGATGACGTTAGGCTACTCTTCTGAAATACTACATAGACATGAATGATAATGTTTTAATTTTTTACGCTATGAAATAGTACATTCGAACTGTAGCTTAGTCTAAATGCGTGCGCTACAAACTGGGTATGATTCACAGACTCCAGCCCTGGTGACGGCGTGGTTAGGTCGTAAATTACAGTTCATACTTCGCGTCTCAGGACGGTTCCACACAGTGGAAAGCGGTGTTAGAGATTCACAGTTTCGCCATGACCCTACGAATTGCGTTCTGTGATTGGCAGGTTGGGCTGTCAGGGCCGAACGAAACCGCTGATGTCAGAAATACTCACCGAATGTCATCCGAACCAGACCACAGTCAGACCGAAGAGTTTCTCATTTGCCGTGCCGAAGCCCTGCAGCGATTTCCCAAGGCGCGAAGCGAACAGCTTGCTCGATACCTACCCTGGATGCCAACGAGGCAGCATGTTGTTGTAACTGTCCGCGGGATTGTATGAGGTTTAGAGATGAATACTTGCGATAAATAACGGTTCATTAGGGTCTTTAGGCTAATGAGACATCTGACACGACATGAGGTAAGGCAGCTTGAGATCCAACGTCCTCACATTTCTAGGCAGGTACGAACTCTTCTGATAGGTGTATTGCGATTTAGGGCGGTGAAAAGCCAGAACGTCTCCTAAACCGTGTGAAACGCTACTGAACCGTACTGAACGATCGATCATTCGACAAATGCTGGAACATCCCCCTCATCCATCATTGTTCATATTATTCCTGGCTCCAATTCCTAGATTCTTCCGCCTTTTGCGAAGCAGGACGAGGTTATATGGTCGCCTTGTTTTGCGGGACTATCCCTTCTATTTCTCCGCTATCTATCTGTGCTGAACTCCTCTTCATTCTGTTCGCTAGAAAAGTGTCCGTAACCTAGCAACTCTCGCGGTGTCGTTCAGTCAGCAACTTCGTTTGGTCAGCCTACTAGTGGTGTCGCTGAATAACAACGCCGATAGAAACAAAAGCAAGCCTGTGCGTTGCAAGCTCGTCCCTTCTACACGGTGGCTCTCTTCCAAAGCGTATCTCGATGTGATATATATTATGAAGTTAATACCAATTCATTCAGACACGTATTAAGAGCCCCGGAGTTCCACTTCTAAGCGCGGAGCTCGTCGCGTATATTGACGTTCCCCATCTGCAAAAATTAGAGCTTGGATACGAAATCCGACGTGTTCCGTCTGCTGACTCGCGGCTGCTAACTCTCGTCTGCTGACTCACGTCTGCTAACTCTCGTCTTCTGACTCACGTCTGCTGACTCACGTCTTCTGACTGACGTCTGCTGACCACGTCTGCTGACAATGGAGCAGAACATCCTATCAGGATTAGACCAGAGCCTGCGTGGTTCCATGCAGAACCATTCCGGCCAGTTCGGAATGCCGAACTCGGCCGGGCAGTTCGGGATGCCGAACCAGGCAGGGCAGTTCGGGATGCCGAATCAGGCTGGACAGTTTGGGATGCCGAACCAGGCCGCCCAGTTCGGCATGGCGAACCAAAGCGGGCAGTTCGGAATGGCGAGTCTTAACGGACATTCGGGACCCGCGGAACCGGCAAGGCATCTGGGGTTGGGGGAGCCGACGAGGCTGTCCGGTTCGCCGGATCCCGCCAAGCAACGAGCGATGTCCGTTCAAATGGAAGCGTGGGGCGGCTCCGCCTCTCAAAGGGTGAGTTATTAATTCTTTTGATACACACTAAATTTAATCGATTACGCAATGGAATGTAATTGGTGCGCAACGCGTACTTCCACCCGCTTAATCACTTTTGAAAATTCTGAAAAACGGACGTACGTTTTCAGATATTCCAAAGCACTGGCGGACACTCCAGTGCTCGATGAATCCGCCAAGCCGCCCGTTCCCCCTATATTTTCAGATATTCAGATTCCCAAATCCCTGAATTTCCAGGTCTTCAGGTAACCAGATTCCCGGATTTCGCCAATCAGCGTTTTTTCAAGTGTAGGACTCAGACTCTCGCCAGGAAGGCATTGAAGCCTCACAATGATGCCTTGTGATTTTTCAGCAATTGGAATTTGTTACAGTTTGTCTTTCCAAGAGCTTCACTTTCCCAACCCCCTTTTCCCCCCTCCCACTCGCTCCCTTCTCCCTGCCTCTCGCCCTCCTGCGCACCCGTCTATTCAGTCCGCCCCCCCAGTGGCGCCGCCGCTGGCGGACGGCCAGCTGACGCAAGTGGAGCAGGCAGCGATTTGCATTCTCTACTCCCTCTTCCTCCCCTCTCCCTCCCTCTCCCTCCCTCTCCCCTCCCCCTCCCCCCATTCCCCCAACCCCCGCGCCCGTCTACTCAGTCTGCACCCCCAGTGGCGGCGCCGCCGCTGGCGGACGGGCAGCTGACGCAAGTTCCGTTAGACAACCCGGCGAGCCAGGAGCGCGCAGCCAAGGATCAGCAGCTGCACGCCACGGAGACGAGCCTGAGGACCAAGGAGGAGGAGCTGCGGCGCATGCAGGAGGCGGTGGAGAAGCGCGTGGCGCAGCAGGTGACGCGCGTTGAGCAGGAGGCGAAGAAGCTGGAGCAGCTGCGGAAGGTGAGGGCCGCCAAGGGGTGGGTGGGGTTGGGGGGTGGGGGTTGTTGTGACCCAGCCAAGCCAGTGAGTTGACTCGTCAGGCAGCAGGTGACTCGCGTGGAGCAGGAGGCGAGGAAGCTAGAGCAGCTGCAGAAAGGTAGGAGGGAGGGGTAGGGGGGTGTTGGTGGAAGGGAGGAGGGGGGTGTTGGAAGGGAAATTGCTGTGACCCAGCCAAGCCAGTGAGTTGACTCGTCAGGCAGCAGGTGACTCGCGTGGAGCAGGAGGCGAGGAAGCTAGAGCAGCTGAGAAAGGAGGTGGTTGACAGTCTTACCCTGTATTCGCGTAGACAGAGTTGTTTGAGACAGAGCAGCTCAGAAAGGAGGTGATTGAGACGTCTCAAAACAACTCTGTCTGTCTACATGTAGCTCAGAAAGGAGGTGGTTGAGACGTCTCAAAACAACTCTGTCTACATGTAGCTCAGAAAGGAGGTGATTGAGTCGTCTCAAAACAACTATGTCTACATGTAGCTCAGAAAGGAGGTGATTGAGCCGTCTCAAAACAACTCTGTCTACATGTAGCTCAGAAAGGAGGTGATTGAGACGTCTCAAAACAACTCTGTCTACATGTAGCTCAGAAAGGAGGTGATTGAGACGTCTCAAAACAACTCTGTCTACATGTAGCTCAGAAAGGAGGTGATTGAGACGTCTCAAAACAACTCTGTCTACATGTAGCTCAGAAAGGAGGTGATTGAGACGTCTCAAAACAACTCTGTCTACATGTAGCTCAGAAAGGAGGTGATTGAGTCGTCTCAAAACAACTCTGTCTACATGTAGCTCAGAAAGGAGGTGATTGAGTCGTCTCAAAACAACTCTGTCTACATGTAGCTCAGAAAGGAGGTGATTGAGACGTCTCAAAACAACTGTGTCTACATGTAGCTCAGAAAGGAGGTGATTGAGTCATCTCAAAACAACTCTGTCTACATGTAGCTCAGAAAGGAGGTGATTGAGTCGTCTCAAAACAACTCTGTCTACATGTAGCTCAGAAAGGAGGTGATTGAGTCGTCTCAAAACAACTCTGTCTACATGTAGCTCAGAAAGGAGGTGATTGAGTCGTCTCAAAACAACTCTGTCTACATGTAGCTCAGAAAGGAGGTGATTGAGTCGTCTCAAAACAACTCTGTCTACATGTAGCTCAGAAAGGAGGTGATTGAGACCTCTCAAAACAACTCTGTCTACATGTAGCTCAGAAAGGAGGTGATTGAGTCGTCTCAAAACAACTCTGTCTACATGTAGCTCAGAAAGGAGGTGATTGAGTCGTCTCAAAACAACTCTGTCTACATGTAGCTCAGAAAGGAGGTGATTGAGACGTCTCAAAACAACTGTGTCTACATGTAGCTCAGAAAGGAGGTGATTGAGTCGTCTCAAAACAACTCTGTCTACATGTAGCTCAGAAAGGAGGTGATTGAGTCGTCTCAAAACAACTCTGTCTACATGTAGCTCAGAAAGGAGGTGATTGAGTCGTCTCAAAACAACTCTGTCTACATGTAGCTCAGAAAGGATGTGATTGAGTCGTCTCAAAACAACTCTGTCTACATGTAGCTCAGAAAGGAGGTGATTGAGACGTCTCAAAACAACTCTGTCTACATGTAGCTCAGAAAGGAGGTGATTGAGACGTCTCAAAACAACTGTGTCTACATGTAGCTCAGAAAGGAGGTGATTGAGTCGTCTCAAAACAACTCTGTCTACATGTAGCTCAGAAAGGAGGTGATTGAGTCGTCTCAAAACAACTCTGTCTACATGTAGCTCAGAAAGGAGGTGATTGAGTCGTCTCAAAACAACTCTGTCTACATGTAGCTCAGAAAGGAGGTGATTGAGTCGTCTCAAAACAACTCTGTCTACATGTAGCTCAGAAAGGAGGTGATTGAGTCGTCTCAAAACAACTCTGTCTACATGTAGCTCAGAAAGGAGGTGATTGAGTCGTCTCAAAAAAACTCTGTCTACATGTAGCTCAGAAAGGAGGTGATTGAGTCGTCTCAAAACAACTCTGTCTACATGTAGCTCAGAAAGGAGGTGATTGAGTCGTCTCAAAACAACTCTGTCTACATGTAGCTCAGAAAGGAGGTGATTGAGTCGTCTCAAAACAACTCTGTCTACATGTAGCTCAGAAAGGAGGTGATTGAGTCGTCTCAAAACAACTCTGTCTACATGTAGCTCAGAAAGGATGTGATTGAGTCGTCTCAAAACAACTCTGTCTACATGTAGCTCAGAAAGGAGGTGATTGAGACGTCTCAAAACAACTCTGTCTACATGTAGCTCAGAAAGGAGGTGATTGAGACGTCTCAAAACAACTGTGTCTACATGTAGCTCAGAAAGGAGGTGATTGAGTCGTCTCAAAACAACTCTGTCTACATGTAGCTCAGAAAGGAGGTGATTGAGTCGTCTCAAAACAACTCTGTCTACATGTAGCTCAGAAAGGAGGTGATTGAGTCGTCTCAAAACAACTCTGTCTACATGTAGCTCAGAAAGGAGGTGATTGAGTCGTCTCAAAACAACTCTGTCTACATGTAGCTCAGAAAGGAGGTGATTGAGTCGTCTCAAAACAACTCTGTCTACATGTAGCTCAGAAAGGAGGTGATTGAGTCGTCTCAAAACAACTCTGTCTACATGTAGCTCAGAAAGGAGGTGATTGAGTCGTCTCAAAACAACTCTGTCTACATGTAGCTCAGAAAGGAGGTGATTGAGTCGTCTCAAAACAACTCTGTCTACATGTAGCTCAGAAAGGAGGTGATTGAGTCGTCTCAAAACAACTCTGTCTACATGTAGCTCAGAAAGGAGGTGATTGAGTCGTCTCAAAACAACTCTGTCTACATGTAGCTCAGAAAGGAGGTGATTGAGTCGTCTCAAAACAACTCTGTCTACATGTAGCTCAGAAAGGAGGTGATTGAGACGTCTCAAAACAACTGTGTCTACATGTAGCTCAGAAAGGAGGTGATTGAGTCGTCTCAAAACAACTCTGTCTACATGTAGCTCAGAAAGGAGGTGATTGAGTCGTCTCAAAACAACTCTGTCTACATGTAGCTCAGAAAGGAGGTGATTGAGTCGTCTCAAAACAACTCTGTCTACATGTAGCTCAGAAAGGAGGTGATTGAGTCGTCTCAAAACAACTCTGTCTACATGTAGCTCAGAAAGGAGGTGATTGAGTCGTCTCAAAACAACTCTGTCTACATGTAGCTCAGAAAGGAGGTGATTGAGTCGTCTCAAAACAACTCTGTCTACATGTAGCTCAGAAAGGAGGTGATTGAGTCGTCTCAAAACAACTCTGTCTACATGTAGCTCAGAAAGGAGGTGATTGAGTCGTCTCAAAACAACTCTGTCTACATGTAGCTCAGAAAGGAGGTGATTGAGTCGTCTCAAAACAACTCTGTCTGCATGTAGCTCAGAAAGGAGGTGATTGAGTCGTCTCAAAACAACTCTGTCTACATGTAGCTCAGAAAGGAGGTGATTGAGTCGTCTCAAAACAACTCTGTCTACATGTAGCTCAGAAAGGAGGTGATTGAGACGTCTCAAAACAACTGTGTCTACATGTAGCTCAGAAAGGAGGTGATTGAGTCGTCTCAAAACAACTCTGTCTACATGTAGCTCAGAAAGGAGGTGATTGAGTCGTCTCAAAACAACTCTGTCTACATGTAGCTCAGAAAGGAGGTGATTGAGTTGTCTCAAAACAACTCTGTCTACATGTAGCTCAGAAAGGAGGTGATTGAGTCGTCTCAAAACAACTCTGTCTACATGTAGCTCAGAAAGGAGGTGATTGAGTCGTCTCAAAACAACTCTGTCTACATGTAGCTCAGAAAGGAGGTGATTGAGTCGTCTCAAAACAACTCTGTCTACATGTAGCTCAGAAAGGAGGTGATTGAGTCGTCTCAAAACAACTCTGTCTACATGTAGCTCAGAAAGGAGGTGATTGAGACGTCTCAAAACAACTGTGTCTACATGTAGCTCAGAAAGGAGGTGATTGAGTCGTCTCAAAACAACTCTGTCTACATGTAGCTCAGAAAGGAGGTGATTGAGTCGTCTCAAAACAACTCTGTCTACATGTAGCTCAGAAAGGAGGTGATTGAGTCGTCTCAAAACAACTCTGTCTACATGTAGCTCAGAAAGGAGGTGATTGAGTCGTCTCAAAACAACTCTGTCTACATGTAGCTCAGAAAGGAGGTGATTGAGTCGTCTCAAAACAACTCTGTCTACATGTAGCTCAGAAAGGAGGTGATTGAGTCGTCTCAAAACAACTCTGTCTACATGTAGCTCAGAAAGGAGGTGATTGAGTCGTCTCAAAACAACTCTGTCTACATGTAGCTCAGAAAGGAGGTGATTGAGACGTCTCAAAACAACTGTGTCTACATGTAGCTCAGAAAGGAGGTGATTGAGTCGTCTCAAAACAACTCTGTCTACATGTAGCTCAGAAAGGAGGTGATTGAGTCGTCTCAAAACAACTCTGTCTACATGTAGCTCAGAAAGGAGGTGATTGAGTCGTCTCAAAACAACTCTGTCTACATGTAGCTCAGAAAGGAGGTGATTGAGTCGTCTCAAAACAACTCTGTCTACATGTAGCTCAGAAAGGAGGTGATTGAGTCGTCTCAAAACAACTCTGTCTACATGTAGCTCAGAAAGGAGGTGATTGAGTCGTCTCAAAACAACTCTGTCTACATGTAGCTCAGAAAGGAGGTGATTGAGTCGTCTCAAAACAACTCTGTCTACATGTAGCTCAGAAAGGAGGTGATTGAGACGTCTCAAAACAACTCTGTCTACATGTAGCTCAGAAAGGAGGTGATTGAGTCGTCTCAAAACAACTCTGTCTACATGTAGCTCAGAAAGGAGGTGATTGAGTCGTCTCAAAACAACTCTGTCTACATGTAGCTCAGAAAGGAGGTGATTGAGTCGTCTCAAAACAACTCTGTCTACATGTAGCTCAGAAAGGAGGTGATTGAGTCGTCTCAAAACAACTCTGTCTACATGTAGCTCAGAAAGGAGGTGATTGAGTCGTCTCAAAACAACTCTGTCTACATGTAGCTCAGAAAGGAGGTGATTGAGTCGTCTCAAAACAACTCTGTCTACATGTAGCTCAGAAAGGAGGTGATTGAGTCGTCTCAAAACAACTCTGTCTACATGTAGCTCAGAAAGGAGGTGATTGAGTCGTCTCAAAACAACTCTGTCTACATGTAGCTCAGAAAGGAGGTGATTGAGTCGTCTCAAAACAACTCTGTCTACATGTAGCTCAGAAAGGAGGTGATTGAGACGTCTCAAAACAACTCTGTCTACATGTAGCTCAGAAAGGAGGTGATTGAGTCGTCTCAAAACAACTCTGTCTACATGTAGCTCAGAAAGGAGGTGATTGACAGTCTTACCCTGTACTCGCTCAGCGTACCCTCCTTTTCACCTGCGCTCCCCTTGTCCCCCCCCCCCCTATTTACCCATCAGGAAAGCTGGAGACGATAGATGATCCGACCAAGAGGGAGGTGACTGTCAGTCTCACCCTGTATTCACTCCACGTTCCCTCCTTTTCGCCCGCGTTTCCCTTGTCCTCCTCCCCCTATAAACCCATCAGGAGTTGGCGTCAATAGAGGGTCCGACCAAGAAGGAGGTGGTTGACAGTCTTACCCTGTACTCGCTCAGCGTGCCCTCCTTTTCACCCGCGTTTCCCTTGTCCTCCTCCCCCTATAAACCCACCAGGAGTTGGAGACAATAGAGGATCCGACCAAGAGGGAGGTGACTGTCAGTCTCACCCTGTATTCACTCCACGTGCCCCCCTTTTACCTTGTCCCCCTACCCTTTCTTCTACCTTTTTTTCCTCTGCAGGAGTTGGATACAATAGAGGACCCGACCAAGAAGGAGGTGGCGGATTTGAGGAAGCGGATCGAGCTGGTGGATCGGGAGCTGAGGCCCATGCGGGCTCTGGTGGAGAGGAAGGTGGGTTGATGCATGTTGATATGCGGTGATGCGCGGTGATGTGTGGTGATGCAGAGAGGTTGAGCTGATGGGGATTTGAGGAAGCGGATCGAGCTGATGGATCGGGAGCAGAGGCCCATGCGTGTTCTGGTGGAGAGGAAGGTAGGAGTGTGGTGATGCGTGGTGATGCATGGTGATGCAGGCAGGATCTGCAACGCATGTGCTGCAGATGGGGATTTGAAGAAGCAGATCGAGCTGGTGGATCGGGAGCTGAGGCCCATGCGTGCGCTTGTTGAGAGGAAGGTGGGTGAGAGGTGAAGGATGTGTGGTGATGTGTGGTGGTGTGTGGTGATGCAGACAGGGAGTGTGGTGCAGGGTGATGCATGGTGATGCAAGGAGTCTGAGCTGATGGGGATTTGAAGAAGCGGATGGAGCTGTTGGATAGGGAGCTAAGGCCCATGCGGGCTCTTTGTTGAGAGGAAGGTGAGTGAGAAAAAAGAACGTGTGGTGATGTGCGGTGATGCGTGGTGATGCGGGATGCATGGTGATGCGTGGTGATACGTGGTGGTGCGTGGTGGTGCGTGGTGGTGTGTGGTGGTGTGTGGTGGTGCGTGGTGGTGCAGGGAGTGTGTGATGGAGGGAGTATGATGCATGTGCTGCAGGTGGGGATTCGAGAAAGCGGATTGAGCTGGTGGATAGGGAGCTGAGGCCCATGCGTGCTCTTGTTGAGAGGAGGTGGGCGAATGGGAGGGATGCGAGATGTGGTGATGCAGGCAGGGTCTGTGATGCATGTGGGGTGCAGGGAGGGTGTGTTTGAGAATTCACACCAATCGAATCCCAGACAGGAGTCATGGTCTTTGCGTGGCGGGAGCAGCTTTTAGCAAACTGTTTTTTAGCGTGTGATGTGGTGATGCATGCAGACAGGGTCTGTGATGCATGTGGGGTGCAGGGAGGGTGTTTTTGAGAATTCTCACATCCACACCCCCGCATAACCCATGTTTCACATGTTCGCTAATTTATGCCCCACATGCCCGATGCCCCATACCCCCACATTCCCAATACCCCATGCCCCCGACATGCCCAATACCCCATGCCCCCCACATGCCCAATACTCCATGCCCCCCACATGCCTGATACCCCATGCCCCCCACATGTCCAATACCCCATGCCCCCCACATGTCCAATGCCCTGCATGCCCCACATGCCCCACATGCCCCACATGCCGCACATGCCCCACATGCCCCACATGCCACACATGCCCCACATGCCCCACATGCCCCATGCCCCATGCCCCATGCCCCCGCCCCATACCCAATGCCTGGCCTGGGATGCCCCGTGGCCCCATATCCACATATCCACACACCCCATGCCCCACGGCAGGAGAAGGAGCTCAAGGATGCCACCACGGCATACAACAACAAGAAGGAAAAAACTTATAAGTCGACTCAATTTCGCCATGCCCCCCATGCCCCCCATACCCCCCATACTCCCCATACCCCCCATACCCCTCCATCAACGGCAGGAGAAGGAGCTGAAGGATGCCACCACGGCATACAACAACAAGAATGCACAGAAGTCAGAGCTGGTTGGGAAACTGTTCGAGGTGAGATGGTGGGGAGTTTTTTTTCTAGGTGAGCTGCGTTTGAGTCAGCACACTTGCCATGCTTCCGTCTGCTCAAAGTGCGCAGAATGCACACACATGCGAGCTGGTCAGGAATGTGACTCCCACCTCCGCACCTGGTGCAACACCTGACGGAGTGTGAGCACTTTTGAGAATTCCGAAAAGTGATTTCCTCATAGCTGACTCCGACCGCCGCGCCTGGTGCCACACCTGACGGAGTATGAGCAGCATTGGCAGCTGGCATGGCAATGCTCGTTCAGGTGCCATGGCAGGTTGCACTCAAAGCTAACCATCCACGCCATGGCAGGTCCTGTTTCAATCATCCTCCTCTCGCCATGGCAGCTGGCACTCAAACCATCCCTTCACATCCCCCCCACCCCTCCCCACCCCTCCCCACCCTTCCCCACCCCTCCCCGCCTGATCCATTTCTGTGCATCAGATTGTGACAGAGAGTGAGCGGCAACGGCTGGCCAAGCTGGAGGAGATAACCTCGCTGCTGACGCAGATGGAACGGAAAGAAGGGGGGCAGTGAGACTACATCGTTGCTCACCCAGATGGAGCGGAAAGAAGGGGGGCGAAGAGGGGTAGGATAATTACCCTTTACGTGTGCGTAAAGAAAGGCTGGCCAATCTTGGAGAGATTGCGTCGCTGCTGACGTTGATGGAAAGGAGAGAGGGGGAGCAGTGGGTTAAAGGGAGGGGAGAGAGGGTAGGTAGGGTAGCTGATTCCTTTTATGCGCCAAGATGAATGTCTGGCCAAGCTGGAGGAGAATATGACACTGCTTGCACATGTGGTGGGAGGTATCTGATAGGTGCATGCATGAGTGGCGCGGCCACAAGACATGCCTGCATGCCTGCTAGTTTTGAGACGTCTCAAAAGACATGCCTGCATGCCTGAGAGTCTGAGCAGAAGATGCGTTTGAGGGGAGGATATTGGCTGATCCATATTGTTTATGTAAGCTTATTTTATTTGAGATCACTTTCATCTGTTGAATTTATCTGAGGTCGCTAATGCAGGCTGTTGCAAGCTTGCTCGTGTAACGAGAGTGAGCTAGTTTCCTGTACAATTTATCTACAAAAATTGAAACTAGATGAAAAGAAGGCCATTTGTGCCCCATCTTTTACTGTATTAATGAAACTGCGAGTGTGTTGTGTCTCCATACACCCTTGCAGGATATGTTTCGAACACGCAAGGATGCGTATAACGAGTATTTCTCGAGTTTTCTGATTCCTTTTCGCCACCTCCCATTGCTCCTCCCTCTGTTTCCTTCCCTTCACTCGCTGCTCTTCACTCTAGGTGATAGTGATTGAATAGCACTAGGTCCCAGCATCTCGCTGTCTCGTCGCGCCCACTCCTTCTCAATCTCTACGTTGCGTGCGCATCGTGATTTTCTTGATTCTCATTTGCAGACGCACCCTAGACGCACTTCCTCACAAGCGCTTTCTCGGTCATCCTCACAGCTGTTGATCTTCATACATCAACTTCGTTCCGCAATCTGACGGCGTTGACCGCAACGAGCTCCATATAGCGATATAGTTTTTTTTTTTTCCTGTCCCTCCTAAAGCCGTTTCGCACCCCGTTACACGAGCACGTTCCGTCTATTCGCGTATCAAATCTGGCGGCGTTGATGTCAATCCAAATAGCGGCGGCTGCAGCGGCGGCGGACGCGCAGAATCGGTCCTCGAGAATACCGAACCTGGCCCGAGCCGCGGCGCCCATGATGGCCGTGCCGCATCAGCCAATCGTCGTGGACCGCGAGAAGGTGCGCGCTTCGGTGTCGCCTGTTTCTGGGTGGGGGAAAGGTGCGCGCGTCGGTGTTTGACTGCCATTGGGTGGAGAAAAGGTGCGCGCTTCTCCAATCAATGGTGATCCCGATATTGTCGACCATTTTGCTTCCAGAAAATGCGAGATGCAACTAGTTATGCGCTGATGGGGTGGGAGAGTGTAATTAAAGCGGAAGCTGTGGGGCAGTCTAATTCGGCGTGCCAGGAACCCTAATTCCACGTATTCCCTTGCTCGTGTTCACTTCCTCCTCATGCCCGATCCTTTTCCCTTTCGCTTTTTCCTCATGCGTTTTTTATGCCCCTGCCTGTGGTCTCTCACTTTTTTTCCCTCATTCCCCGTCCCCCCCACCCTCCCCCCTCCCCTTCCCGTCCCCTCCTCCCCCCTCTCCCCCCACCCCCCCTCCTCTTCTCCCTCCTCCCCTTCCAAACTCATCCTGTTTTCTCATCATTACAGACATGTCCGCTGCTGCTACGAGTATTTCACAAGGTCAGTTGAAAACAACAATGCTTTAGGTCAAAGGATAAGGTATATTTTTCTTTCCTTATCATGTAGCCGTCCATAGGCGTGGGCCATCCATGGGCCATCCATGGGATGGGCCATCCATGCCCATACTACGTTTGCCATCCACATGCTTAGTATGTAGCCAACACATGCCATGCCATGTGACCAACCATCCCCATCTGGCAATGCCAATTTTCACCATTGCTCCTCATGTGCTCCCCTTTCTGAGCGTGTTAATCCTTTTTTAGTATGTCACCCTTTCCCAATATGTCACCCTTTCCTAATATCTAACCGCTTTCCCAATATGTCACCCCTTTCCCTATGTCAACCCTTTCCCAATATAACACTCCTTTCCCAATATGTCACCCCTTTCCCAATATGGCTCTACTTTCCCAATATGCCACCCCTTCCCCAATATCTCGCCGGTTTGCCCAACATGTCACCCCTTTCCCAGTTTGTCACTCCTTTCCCAATCTGTCGCCCTTTTCCCAATCTGTCACCCTTTTCCCAATCTGTCGCCCTTTTCCCAATATGTCGCCCTTTCCCCAAATTGTCATGTTCCTCTGCCCGTTTACACAACACCGTGAGTTTCTCTTTCGGACTTCACCCAAAAGCCCTCACCTCACCCCTTTACCCCAATTCCAAAAGCCCTCACCCCTTTACCCCAATTCCAAAAGCCCTCACCCCTTTACCCCAATTCCAAAAGCCCTCACCCCTTTACCCCAATTCCAAAAGCCCTCACCCCTTGACCCCAATTCCAAAAGCCCTCACCCCTTTACCCCAATTCCAAAAGCCCTCACCCCTTTACCCCAATTCCAAAAGCCCTCACCCCTTTACCCCAATTCCAAAAGCCCTCACCCCTTTACCCCAATTCCAAAAGCCCTCACCCCTTTACCCCAATTCCAAAAGCCCTCACCCCTTTACCCCAATTCCAAAAGCCCTCACCCCTTTACCCCAATTCCAAAATAATGAGAGATGTGTCGACTGATCTCTTACCTCCTTTCCTCCTTTCGTCCTCGTGTTTCCATTGTGTTCTTGTTGCAAATAACAACACGGATCAGATTTGGACGTCTCTGCAGCGAGAGGGGCAGGAGTCCAAGGAGGGATGCGTTGTCTGATCTTTCCTTTTCACTCTCTCCCTTCCGCCTTGTGGTTTGTGCTCGTGTTGTAACTAGCAGCACGGGGGGCATCACGATTTGGAAGCCTCTGCAGGGAGAGGGGCAGGAGCCCAAGGAGGGATGCGTTGTCTGATTGACTGGTCTCCTGGTCTCCCATTTTCCTTTGTTTTGTCCTGTGTGCTCTTGCAAATAACAGCACAGGGAGCATCATATGATTTAGATGCCTTTGCAGGGAGAGGGACAGGAGCCCAAGGAGGGATGCGTTGTCTAAATTCCTTATCTCCCTTTCTCCCATTTTCTCCCATTCTCTACCTCATGGCAGCACGGGGGGCATCACGATTAGGACGCCTTTGCAGGGGGAGGGTTAGGAAGGAGTCTCAAGGAGGGAGGGAGGGAGGGAGGGAGGGAGGGAGGGAGGGAGGGAGGGAGGGAGGGAGGGAGGGAGGGATGCGTTGTCTGATCTTTCCTTTTCACTTCCTCCCCTTCCGCCTTGTGGTTTGTGCTCGTGTTGTAACTAGCAGCACGGGGGGCATCACGATTTGGAAGCATTCGCAACGAGAGGGCAGGAGCCCAAGGAGGAGGTGCAGATGTACACGTGGAAGGACGCCACCCTGAGAGAACTGACAGATCTGGTGAGTATTCACTGAACATTCATGATGTGAGGGTGCTGGGAAGTAGCCCAAGGAGGAGGTGCAGATGTACACGTGGAAGGACGCTCCCCTGAGAGAGCTGACCGATTTAGTGAGCATTCACTGAACATTCACTCATTCACGTCTCTGCCCCTGTACTCGTTATTGGCTGTTTCAGTTGAAGGAGGTGGTGCCGGAGGCCCGTCGTAGGGAAGCGCGGCTATCTTTTGCATTCGTGTACCCAAATAGACAGGGGAGGAACGTGATGAAACAGGTGAGGCATTCTTGAGTTGACTTAAAAGGGAGGCTTTGTTATCGTTTGTTAGCGGTCGCATGTTAGCTTGCTTCGTGGCTTCATGTTTCCCAGCACCATGCAAGTGGTTTTTGAGAATTCTAAGAAATCATGTTTCCCAGCACCATTGCCTGTCTCTTGGTCTCTTGTTCCTTACAGCCTCATCTGTTACCTCTAATTCCTTCCTTATCCCATGCTGACGTCCTTCCTCTCATTCCTGGCCTCTGAGTCGACTCAAACGTCACCTCGTTTTGCGTCGACGCAAAATTCACCTCGTTTTGAGTCGACTCAAAAGTCACCTCGTTTTGAGTCGACTCAAAAGTCACCTCGTTTTGAGTCGACTCAAAAGTCACCTCGTTTTGAGTCGACTCAAAAGTCACCTCGTTTTGAGTCGACTCAAAAGTCACCTCGTTTTGAGTCGACTCAAAAGTCAACTCGTTTTGAGTCGACTCAAAAGTCACCTCGTTTTGAGTCGACTCAAAAGTCACCTCGTTTTGAGTCGACTCAAAAGTCACCTCGTTTTGAGTCGACTCAAACGTCACCTTCTTACCATGCTGACGTCCTTCCTCTCATTCCTGGCCTCCTCACTCTCTCCACTCCCACCCACACCACGCCGGTATTACCGACTCCATAACCCGCGGCGCAAACCCACACACCTTCGGCGCAAACCAACACACCTTCGGCGCAAACCCACACACCTTCGGCGCAAACCCACACACCTTCGGCGCAAACCCACACACCTTCGGCACAGACCAACACACCTTCGGCACAGACCAACACACCTTCGACACAGACCAACACACCCGCGGCGCGGACCAACACACCCTCCGCATCTCTCCTTATGCCACATTCTCCTTGCCTCTTCTCTATCCCCTCTCCCCCCCATGTCAGGCCGGTATCACCAACTCAATGACTCGCAGACCAACACCCGATGACAACAGGACGTTGCACGAGCTGGGGTTTCAGGTGAGCTTGACTGTTGCATGAGCATGACATCAGCATGACATCAGCATGACATCAGCATACTGCTTGCTTACAACACCCGATGACAACAGGACATTGCACGAGCTGGGGTTTCAGGTGAGCTTTCCATGTGCAATGCAAATGGAATTATCACACCTGCAACCTAAGTTGAGGTTGCCATTTGCATTGCATCAGCGCAACATTAGTGTGAAGCATCCAATGTGTAGCATTCCTTTTTTTTTTTTTTCCTGGGAAAGAAATAACAAAATTTTCTGTTCTGGTTTACCTCCCCCACCCCCTTCACACCCCCCCTTTCCCCTTTCCACACTTCCAGCTGTTCCCTACATGCAACAAACGGTACTTAGATGGGGATTTACTCAACATTGCAATCTCCCTCCTGAAACAAAGCATGTCCCTTTCTTTCCCTCCCCTTCCTTTCGCTCCCTTCCTTTCCTCCCCCTCTCCCATTTCCCGCTCGGTCCCTCCTCCTGTCCCCATGCCCCCACCAAACAGACTGGTGACTTCCTAGACGTTGCTATTTTCACATGAAACCACGCATACAGGTGGTAGCCGTTCATTATGCTGCTAGGGTCGACTCTTGCTGACTAGGCTGTTACACTCTACCGTGCATTCTTAATAAATTACAACGGATATTAAATCAGTAAGGTACTACCGTACTACTACCAATGAATGGATCACGCTTCAGGTTGTAGCATTGTTTGTGGGAAGCTTATCAATTCCACTTGCATATGCCTTAACCTGACCTAGGCGAATGGAAGATTCAATAACATAACATGGTGTGGAATGCTGGGAAAATGGAATCCGCAACTTTTGGGCTTGTGGTCAGGCATGCACAATACTGTATAACATCTAGTGGTAATAAAATTACCCCTCTATAGGTAACCGTTATTCCAGTGCACCAGCTTGCCAGAAAATCTACCGTATTCCCCCGGACATACCACCCGCCGAAATAGAGCACCCCCCGGGTGGCTTGTGCGGGGGGGCTTTGAATTTTCTACTAGCGGACCTCGTTTCTACTATACCCCCCTTTTGGGGTGAATTTTCTAGAGCACCCTCCTTTCATACAAAATTTCTAATTATAGCTGTTAGCGAGTACTGCAGAACATCGCGGAAATAACTTCCGCGATGCAATTTCATGGTAGTTTCAATGTAATCTACCGAAATCACCCCCCTCCCTCTTTTACACTACTGCCACTCTGGAAGATTGTTCACTACCAAGTGGCCAAAAAGGTGCCACTTGGCAATTTCAAGGGGGGTGAAAAGGATCTCGCCAAAACCCACATTCTCGCTTCTAGCTGTGATGGTAATCCAACTTTGAAAACACCCAAGTTGTCTTTGCATCAAAATCCTTACACTAAAAATACCGTATAAAAAGACCCGGGTGCAATGTAGCTTTTTCCGATGACAAGACCCCCCCCCATTTTTTTGTGTAGTTATCATAGCACCCTAGGGTGGTATGTCCGGGGGAATACGGTATCTCTCCCGACACACCCCCCAAATCCTTCCCATCCTCCTCCGCCCCTTCCAATCCCCTCCCATCCTCTTTCCCTTCACAATCCCATTTATTTGGCCCACTTTCTCTAACCTAAATAATTACTGGCTCATACTATCAGATAAACCAGCCAAATGGTAAAAGCCCTGAAATAGGAGGGTTGAACCAACCAGTCCACGCCACTGCCGAGACTTCACTGCCAAAAATCAGTCGCTGCCACGTAAAGACATGGCTCCTGTTTGTCTGCCGAGCCTGCCCCACCTTCACTGAATGTTGTTGCTGCTGCTGCTGCACCTGCTGTTGCTGCTGCAGCTGCTGTTGCTGCTGCTCCCCTGGACTACACTAGTCCTCCCTGTGCTGTTGCTGGAGTTGCTGCTGGTCCTTCCACATTCCATCACCCATGCTGCTTCAGTGCTGCTGTTGCCTTGTCCTTCCCAATCCTTATTCTGACAGCCACTGCAGCTGCCCTTGCACCTGCTACCCCATTCACCCAATCGCCTCTCCGAAACTGCTGCTGCTGCTGCTTGCCGTTATTCCAAAACCTTATTTACCTCTCCCTTATTCGTGCACTGCAATTATTCTTATCATTATTCCCATTGCACCGCCACCCACCATTTCGAACCGCACAGCACCTAGCAGAGCTCCTCCTTCAGATTCGGCCCAGCCAAATCAGCAGCTTATTTCTGAGGCACCTCCAATATACAACCCTGTCCACCCACCCATTGCACCACCACGCACCATATCGAACCGCACAGCAGCTAGCAGCTCCTTCAACTTCACCGGTCGATTCTACTGACGGCTCAACCAACCCAGCAGCGGCAATTCTCTCATGGCAAACGGGATGACCCAGGGCCCCTCCAATCATGGGCAAGAGGAGCGAGACTCCTGAAAGGGCCCTCAAATCAGAGTTTCCCCATAACGTCCCAGAGGCGATATCAGCGTCTGATAAAACCCCCAAAACTATCGCCCACCGCCCTACCTTCGGCTTACCGCTCCCCAGCTTCAAAACCACGCAGCTTCGTGGTCGACTCTGTTCGATTCAAGCCGTTTTTTAGTATTCTCAAATGGGGGTTGCAACGTCCACCCCAATAAATACCGAGGTGCTGAATAATAGCGCCTAATTCTGTCAAAACCACCCTATCGCAGACTCTGCACTGCTCCTCCTCCTCCTTCTTTTGAAGCCCGTTTTCCTTTTTTCCATTCTCTCACCCCCCCTTTTTTTTCAAAGTCCAAACGCATACCCCATTTCGAACTGGTCCTTCCTCCCCCATTGCAGACTCCTGTCATAGCTCATCTCCCTGCCTCACTCATCCCCCTCTTTTGACTCGACTCAAAAGTCAACTCCCCCCCCATTGCAGACTCCTGTCATAGCTCATCTCCCTGCCTCACTCATCCCCCTCTTTTGACTCGACTCAAAAGTCAACTCCCCCCCCATTGCAGACTCCTGTCATAGCTCATCTCCCTGCCTCACTCATCCCCCTCTTTTGACTCGACTCAAAAGTCAACTCCTCCCCCATTGCAGACTCCTGTCATAGCTCATCTCCCTGCCTCACTCATCCCCCTCTTTTGACTCGACTCAAAAGTCAACTCCTCCCCCATTGCAGACTCCTGTCATAGCTCATCTCCCTGCCTCACTCATCCCCCTCTTTTGACTCGACTCAAAAGTCAACTCCTCCCCCATTGCAGACTCCTGTCATAGCTCATCTCCCTGCCTCACTCATCCCCCTCTTTTGACTCGACTCAAAAGTCAACTCCTCCCCCATTGCAGACTCCTGTCATAGCTCATCTCCCTGCCTCACTCATCCCCCTCTTTTGACTCGACTCAAAAGTCAACTCCTCCCCCATTGCAGACTCCTGTCATAGCTCATCTCCCTGCCTCACTCATCCCCCTCTTTTGACTCGACTCAAAAGTCAACTCCTCCCCCATTGCAGACTCCTGTCATAGCTCATCTCCCTGCCTCACTCATCCCCCTCTTTTGACTCGACTCAAAAGTCAACTCCTCCCCCATTGCAGACTCCTGTCATAGCTCATCTCCCTGCCTCACTCATCCCCCTCTTGGCCCCCGTCTCATGCCTTGAGGTCGTTTTTGAGGCGCCTGAAAAAAAAATATCCGTGCCTCACTCATCCCCCTCTCGGCCCCCGTCTCTTGCCTCATCTCCTCCCCTCTTCCCCCCGCCCCGACCTACCTGTTTTTACTTCGCCACCCACCCAATGATACCAACTGTTCCAGACATAGCTAGTCTTTATGCTACCTCCTTCCATTTCGCCCCTCGTTCAATTTATACCTCCCCCAGTGCAGCCCCTACCCCAGGTGCTACCTCCTCCCATGCCGCCCCTCCCCCTGTTACCAGCTCCCCCCATCCCACCCCTCCCCCCAGTTGCTACCTCCCCTCTGCCCATGCCGCCCCTCCCCCAGTTGCTACCTCTCCCCCATGCCGCCCCTCCCCTACTCACTACATCCCCCCATGCCGCCCCTCCCCCTGTCACTACCTCCCCCCATGCTGCCTGGGCGCTCGAGGGCGCACAGGGGTCTTGGAGGGACTCACCCTGAAGAGGGGGGGGGGGGGGGGGGGGGAGAGGGATTGGGGGAAGGGAGGGGGAGAGGGATTGGGGGAAGGGAGGAGCTTAGTTTTGGAGGGACAGGGGATTGAGGCGCCTCGCAAGTTGCCTGGACGTTAGTGGGCGCTCGTGGGCGCACAGGGGCCTTGGAGGGACTCAATATGATGGGGAGAGAGAGAGGGGGGGGGAAGGGGAAAAATGGGGGGGATACGAGGGGTAAGGGTGGAGCAAGAGGGGACAGCCGATGCTGCCTGGGCGCTCGTGGGAGCACAGGGGTCGTGGAAGGACTCCACTCACCCTGGTGGATAAGGGGATTAAGGGTAGGGTTGGAGGAAGGAGGACGGGCGAGGGCGGAAGAGGGGGAGGTTTGGATGGAAGAGGAATAGGCGCTGCCTGGGCGCTTGTGGGCGCTCGTGGGCGCTCGTGGGCGTTGAATTGACTTTTGAGGCGCCTCAAAATTCAACTCAACGAAGAGGAATAGGCGCTGCCTGGGCGCTCGTGGGCGCACAGAGGTCTTGAAAGGGCTCACCCTGGTGGAGGGGAAGCGGGGGGGAGGGGGAATAGGGGGAGAGGACAAGGAGAGGGCGGCAGAGAGGGGGTGGGGTGGGGGGAACAGCAGGTGCTGCGCGAGTTGACTTTTGAGTAAACTCAAAAGTCAACTCAAAAGTCAACTCGAGGACAAGGAGAGGGCAGCAGAGAGGGGGTGGGGTGGGGGGGACAGCAGGTGCTGCGTGGGCGCTCGTGGGCGCACAGGGGTCTATAGAAGCGGCTCACTCTGATTGGATGGACCATAAGGGTTGGATAAGAATAGGAGACACAAAGGAGTTGAAAAAGGATCACTGCAGGACGGCAGAGGGAGGGACTCGCACGTAGGATCTCTGAGGGACGCACCCTGATATGTGTTCAGGGAGTGAGGGACTCACTCACTCATCTGAGGGACTCACTCACTCATCTGAGGGACTCACTCACTCATCTGAGGGACTCACTCACTCATCTGAGGGACTCACTCACTCATCTGAGGGACTCACCCCGATACCTGATGGGGAGTGAGCCCAGGATGGCTCTGGGGGACGCACCCCGATATGTGATGTGATCAGGGAGGAGCTTCACTGACCTGATGGGGAGTGAACCCAGGATGGCTTTGAGTCGACTCAAAAGCTGATGGGGAGTGAACCCAGGATGGCTTTGAGTCGACTCAAAAGCTGATGGGGAGTGAACCCAGGATGGCTTTACTGCAGTTTGATGCTGCCATCGCGCTCTCCACCTGGGGGAGAACGCTAGGTGTGGATAGGTGTGGTGGCGCGGTGCTGAGTGGTGCAGAGAGGTAAAGAGACTGACCTGATGGGGAGTGAGCCCAGGATGGCTCCGCTGCAGTTTAATGCTGCCATGGCGCTCTCAACCTGGGGGAGAACGCGAGGTGTGGATAGGTGTGGTGGCGTGGTGCTGAGTGGTGCAGAGAGGTGAAGAGACTGACCTGATGGGGAGTGAGCCCAGGATGGCTCCGCTGCAGTTTAATGCTGCCATGGCGCTCTCAGCCTGGGGAAGTGAAAGGTGCAGAGAGATGCAGAGCAATTCAGAGCGTTAATCAAAGGTGAAGAGAGGTTCATTTAGAAAGCAGAGGTTAGCTAGGAACGGAGAGCTTTGCGCAGGTAGCTTTTCCAGCTGCAAAGGTGCATTTGATAGCAAATGCAGTCTCCTAATGGATGTGCAGAGAGAAAGAGCCACCACCCACCATTACCCCTCATCACCCACCATCACCCCTTGTCATCCCCATCACTCACCATCACGAATTCAACAAAGGCAATGCGAGTAGAATGGTGGTAATCGCCCAACAGACGGAGACGAGAGATCTGAGAAGAAAAATGGGAAGAAGATGGGGGAAAAAAGGGAGATGGGGAGTGGAGTGCGGTTGGTTGGCTTTCCAAAGAGGTGCCGATCTCATGCGAGTAGAGTGATGATAATCGCACAGCAGACAAAGGCGCGAGATCTAACACACGAGATCTAACACGCGAGATCTAACACGCGAGATCTAACACGCGAGATCTAACACGCGAGATCTAACACGCGAGATCTAACACGCGAGATCTAACACGCGAGATCTAACACGCGAGATCTAACACGCGAGATCTAACACGCGAGATCTAACACGCGAGATCTAACACGCGATATCTAACACGCGAGATCTAACACGCGAGATCTAACACGCGAGATCTAACACGCGAGATCTAACACGCGAGATCTAACACGCGAGATCTAACACGCGAGATCTAACACGCGAGATCTAACACGCGAGATCTAACACGCGAGATCTAACACGCGAGATCTAACACGCGAGATCTAACACGCGAGATCTAACACGCGAGATCTAACACGCGAGATCTAACACGCGAGATCTAACACGCGAGATCTAACACGCGAGATCTAACACGCGAGATCTAACACGCGAGATCTAACACGCGAGATCTAACACGCGAGATCTAACACGCGAGATCTAACACGCGAGATCTAACACGCGAGATCTAACACGCGAGATCTAACACGCGAGATCTAACACGCGAGATCTAACACGCGAGATCCACGCGAGATCTAACACGCGAGATCCACGCGAGATCTAACACGCGAGATCTAACACGCGAGATCTAACACGCGAGATCTAACACGCGAGATCTAACACGCGAGATCTAACACACGAGATCTAACACGCGAGATCTAACACGCGAGATCTAACACGCGAGATCTAACACGCGAGATCTAACACGCGAGATCTAACACGCGAGATCCAACACGCGAGATCTAACACGCGAGATCTAACACGCGAGATCCAACACGCGAGATCTAACACACGAGATCTGAGACGCGGGAATATGTATGTGTGTGTAGTAATGGTAATCATTAAACTGGCCCAGACAATAAATCTGAACAAGATGGTTTGGGTGGGGGGGGAGTGGGGGAGAGAGGGGGGGGGGGGGGGGGGGTGTGCGAGTGGGGAAGGGAAGGGGGAAGTGGAGGGGGAAGGGGAAGAGGGGGGTACGGATTTCACGTGGGAGGAGTGGTGCTAACCCAGCACCTGGAGGCGAGGGGCGAGGCTGCATCAACATTTACTTAGCCGTATTCAAACACATTCAACCGCACCAAACCTTGGCTCACCTCTCCGCAGAGAGACTCAAAGAAGAGCTTCACATCTGCCTGAGTGACCTGCAGTGAGTGAGGGAAGGAGTGAGGGAGCGAGGGAGCGAGTGAGGGAGTGAGTGGGTGAGGGAGTGAAGGAGGGAGTGAGGGAGGGAGTGAGGGAGGGAGTGAGTGAGTGAGCGAGGGAGGGAGTGAGTGAGTGAGCGAGTGAGGGAGTGAGGGAGGGAGGAGGGCGACTGATAAGTTCTTAATATGTCTCAAGAGTGATTAGCAAGGTTCTGAAACGAGTCAAAGGGGTGGTGTGGTGTGGTAATGTAATCACGTGAAAGAAAGGGTGGTGTGGTGTGGTGTGGTGTGGTGACGTCTCAAAACGTGTCAAAGGGTGGTGTGGTAATCACGTGAATGAAGAAGTGTTTTGTGGTGCGGTGACGTCTCAAAACGTGTCAAAGCGTGGTGTGGGAATCGATAAGAGTGAGAAAAGCAAGTCACTTGCGGCAAGAAGCTTTCTACTGTGTGGGTGGATCAGCGGTTTAGCAAGCAGGTGAGAAGGCAAGGAGCAGTTGATGCAAGGGACAAAGAAACAGGGGAAAACCCAGCCTAAACCCTAAACCCAGGATATTCTCACCCCACTTCTTGCCTTGACTGGCGCTTCCCCTCCTTCCCTTTCACCTTCTTGCCACCACTCCCCCCCCCCCTATCTATCCCCTACTGCCTCGACACTCCTTGCCTTGCGCTTTTTGAGAATTCTCAACAAACACTCCTTGCCTTGCGCTTTTTGAGAATTCTCAAAAAACACTCCTTGGCTTGCCTTTCCTCTCGCCTCCCCCCTCACCTTCTTGTCAATGTTGGTGCAATACACAGTGCGAGCACACATCTCCCTCTCCTCTTGACTCTGTGCTATCTCCCCTTGTTCCCCTTACCCTCTCGCCTCACATTCCTGCCTTTCCTCTCGCCTACCCCCTCACCTTCTTGTCAATGTTGGTGCAATACACAGTGCGAGCACACATCTCCCTCTCCTCTTGACTCTGTGCTATCTCCCCTTGTTCCCCTTACCCTCTCGCGTCACATTCCTGCCTTTCCTCTCGCTTCTCGCCTCACCTTCTTATCAATGTTGGTGCAATACACAGTGCGAGCACACATCTCCCTCTCCTCCTGGCTCTGAAGTGTCAAACACGGGGGAAAGCAGGAACCGAAATGCACAGTGCAACAGCAAGTACGGGGGATGCGAGCAGGTGGGGGAGGAAGGGGGAGATTTTTGAGTCAACTCAAAAGTTACGGTGCGGGCACACATCTCCCTCTCCTCCTGGCTCTGATGTGACAAACACGGGGGAAAGCAGGAACCGAAATGCACAGGGCAACAGCAAGTATGGGGATGCGAGCAGGTGACGGGGAAGGGGATTTTTTTTTAGTCAACTTAAAAGTTAGATTGCGAGCACACATCCCCCTCTCCTCCTGACTCTGATGTGACAAACACGGGGGACGAAAAAAAAAGCGCAGCGGGTGGTGCAACAAAAGCATGAGTTTGGGGGTGAACCAAGGAAAGCAGCAGCCCATCATCATCAGCAGCCCAGCAGCACCCCAGGACGATGGCAGGTACTACGCATCGGAAAGGCACCTTGGGGAGATAGGTGGGGTTGACAGGGAGGATGGCAGTCTTGGAAGGGAGCACCCGGAGCGGGTAGTACCCTAGCAGCACCCCACAAGGCACATCTTCACTCAGCGCCACCTTGGGTTGGGTGGGTTGTGAACCACACTGCAGTCTTGGAAGGGAGCACCCGGAGCGGGTAGTACCCCACAAGGCACATCTTGGCTCAGCGCCACCTTGGTTTGGGTTGTGAACCACACTGCAGTCTTGGGAATATCCCAGCGCCAAGCCAACCCCCTCGCCCTGCAACCCAGCCCTACCTACCTACCCCACCAGCACAGCACTCCAGCAGCAATCAAGCACAGTCGCAGTCAATGCACCTTGGGGAGGTAGGTGGGGTTGACTGGCAGGATGGCGGTCTTAGAAGGCAGCACCCGGAGAGGGTAGTACCCCGGCCCGGCAAGGTGACCCACAAGACACATGCCCTGTACTGCACTACTGGCACGTGGTGTAGCAGTAGATGTACATGTACCTTGGGGAGGTAGGTGGGGTTGACTGGCAGGATGGCGGTCTTAGAAGGCAGCACCCGGAGCGGGTAGTATCCTAGCATCGTGCCTGCTATGCTCAACGCGTTCTTGGCCCCCTCTGAACATGAGAAGCACGAGAGTTGCAAGAGAGTTGCAAGAGAGGAGAAAAAGAAGGAACGAGATGAGAGAAAAGAGAGGAGCACCCTGAGAGGGTAGAATAGAACCCCAGCATCGTCCTTTGAGAATTCTCAAAAGTCACTCGAATATAGCATCGTCCCAGCTATACTCAGAGCCTTCTTGGCTCCCTTTGGAATGAAAGAGGAAACAGGCAAGAGAGGGAGAGGAAAGAGATGGAGACAAGGGATTGGGGAAAATAGAGGAGCAGTTGGAGAGGGTAGTACCCCAGCATTGTCCTTCTGGTTCCCTCTGGTTTAAATGGGAGGGACGAGAAAAGGCACGAGAGGTGCAGAGGAAAGGACAGACATGGGGGAAAACTTATGGAGGAAACGGAGGAAAGAAAGGGGCAGAGAAAGGAGCGGGAAGAGAGGAACGACAGGTGTGGGGGAGAGGAGAGAGATGTGGGACAGGGGTAGGGTCTCAAAGCGTTCTAAACCCCCTCTGGAAGAAGGAAAAAAACCGCTATTGGAAACTGAGAGTATAGCATTCAGACCGTTTTAGCCAAAACGCAATAAGACATTGGAAACATAAAGCTATTACTCGCTTTTCACTCACTGATTGATGACGCTACTGCCCACTTGCAGCGTACCTTCATCTGTAAACTCCACAAATGCAAATCGGAGCACCGAATTGGGGTCCCCACAGATCCGACAGTCCACCACCTGTGACAGACAGGGGCAGACAAGGAGAATATGAGGCATAAAAGAAATGTAGTTTCAGTCGCGGTAACTTTGGAGTCAACTCAAGGGTGTATTTGGTTCCCCACAGATTCAACAGTTCACCTCCTATGACATACAGACGCAGGCAGACGTGGCAGGAGAGTACACGGACTTATGAATTTGAGGCACCTGAAAACTCACCTGAGGCCATGAGGCACCTGGAAATTCAAGTGAAGCTACGAGGCTACTAAAAACTCACCTGAGGCCATGAGGCACCTGGAAATTCATCTGAAGCTACGAGGCTACTAAAAACTCACCTGAAGCTATGATGCACCTGGAAACTCACCTGGCCACAGGAGAGAAAGAGAGTGGCGAGCTGCTCCTCCGTCACCTGCCATGGTGAGAAGTGGGGTCAAAGGAGACGGAAGAAGTGGGGGCAAAGGACAGCACAGCACAGAGACGGGCGGGGAGAAAGGTACTACTGTGATACAGGGAAGGGGGAGAGAAAGAGAGTGGCGAGCTGCTCCTCCGTCACCTGCCATGGTGAGATCATCGCAGGGAGGGGGCGGTGAAAAAGGTGAGGACGGCGGGAGGACGGAAAGCGAAGAAATGGTGATCACAGGCGGGGAAAGGGAGGTAGGGCACGAGGACGAGAAGAGGAAAGGAGAGAGGCGAGCTGCTCCTCCGTCCATTCCATTGCATACTCCCATCACTTGCTTGCTACTGCTTTTGGAGGTGACACGACACGTCGCGTTTTACAGAGATCTCAAGACAGAAGCCAACTCACCTGGTGGTCGATGTCAGACACATAGACCGTCCGCTGGGTGCTCTCCTCCGTGGGCTGCTGCCCTGCCCTCGCTTGCTGCCCCCTCCGCTGATTCCCACCCCCACCAGCAGGACCACCCGCTCCCATCCCCGCATTTCCAGCGCCAGAGCCTTTATTCTGCACGTGTGAAACAGATGCACGGGACACAAGTAAGTTTCTGAGGCGTCTCAAAAACACCCCCTCCACCAGCAGGACCACCCGTTCCCATCCCCGCATTTCCAGCGCCAGAGCCTTTATTCTGCACGTGTATGGCATGGGAAATGGTTTGAAATAACATTGGTACGAAAAAAGGCATGTAACATCGACACGGCATGTCCCTCTGCCCCTCTCTCTGCCCCTCTCTCTCCCTCTCTCCTGCCCCATTCTCTTTTCCTCTCCCTCTCCCTCTCGTCTGCCCCTCTCTCTGCCCTCTCTGCCCCTCTCTCTGCTCTCTCTGCACCTAACTCTGCCCCTTCTTTCAAGTGAAAGAAGCAAGGGTCAAGAGAATTCAGCATGCAACTAATCTCTTGACACATGAAATGAAATGAAACGACTTCAAACGCCTTAACGGTGACAAGGTAACCTCAAGTACTGGTTGGTTACCACCACAACCCACCTTCATCTGCCCCTGCTGCTGCTGACTCTGCCGCCCCTCCATCCCCTGCTGCCTCCCATTCGGAGACACCTGTCCGTTCCGTGCTGACGTGGCACCAGCGGAAGCAGCCACGTCACCCTGCTGCTGACCGTCTTCGTTTCTAGCCCCGGCTCCCCCGGATCCTCCTCCGCCTTCTCCTCCTCGACCCCCTCTCCCCCTCCCTCCGCCGTTGCTCCTATTGTCCTCCCCCCTCCTTCCCCCGCCTCTTCCCCCCCCAGCTCCCCCCGAAGGCGGAGAATACGCCTTAGCATCCGGATTCAGCTTCTTTAGCATCTCCTCTAATTCGTCCATGTTCTTCGCATGGTTATAATTAGCGTTTCCCTGCATGTGCGGGGGGTTATTGCGGTAATCTCCCTGCTGCCCGTGCTGCTGCTGCTGCTGCTGCTGATGTTTTTGCTGCTGCTGATACGGCCCTCTTCTAGGGTTATTAGGATTCCGATTCGCGTAATTACCCTGACCCGGGTTACCAAACCCTTGGCCGGGAGCGTTGTAACCAGCGGGCCCGTTTACGTTAACGTTAACGTTAGCATTTACGTTCCGGGGGATGTTATGGGGCCCGAAACCGGACGGCGGACCCATCAGCGGACTCATGGCTTGCGCGCCCAGACCGGGGGGGACGTTTTGCGCGGACATGGTTGGCGGAGAGAAGTTGGGGGAAGGGGAAAACTGCCCCGGAGGTCCGCGCGCGAACCCCATTCCGAACATCTGCTGCGGCGGAAACTGCTGCGGGGGAAACTGCTGCGGCGGAAACTGCTGCGCGGAGCCCTGGGGGAACTGCGGAGATGCTGGGGGGAACTGATGCGGGGAGGCCGGAGGGAACTGCTGCGTGGACCCCGGCGGAAACTGCGGGGACGGCGGGGCGAATTGTTGGGGGGATGCGGGGGGGAACTGCGGGGGGGCGGGGGAGTACTGTTGCGGGGAGGCAGGGGGGAACTGTTGCGGGGCGCCGGGGAGCAGCGGAGGCATCCCGAACGGGCCCCCCGCGTGGCTGTTCCACGGCTGGTACTGCTGAAATAACGACGGGTATTGATCCGGTGACGATCCCGGAAAGTGCTGATAAGGAGAGATCACGTTCGTTACAGGAACGGCCTGGGGTCCCGGGCTAGGCTGAGAGAGAGCCATGTTCTGAGGAGGGTATGGCGCGGGGCTGATTCCTTGCGGAGCAATTACGGCGGGAAATGGCGAGGAGGCGGATAGGGACGCTGGGAGGCTGGAAGATACGGATAAGGATGACGGAAGGTTGGGATCTGATTCGGATCCTCCTCCGTCTCTGATCTGATCTTGCGACGAATCTTGACCGTAGGTCGTCGATTCGCCGTTATACGGTGCAGATTCGTTTTCATACGTCGCCGAGTCGCCGTTATACGGTGCAGATTCGTTATTGAATGTTGCCGGTTCGCCAGAATACGTCGCCGAGTCGGGACCGATCGATGTCCCCGTGGGACCCTGAGGAGTAGATTCTGGCAGCTGATTCGATTCTTCATCTGCGTTTGACGAAGATTCTTGGAACGCGGATGGGGCTTCTTGAAACGTGGCTGGAGCCGCGTCGAAACCCGTGGGTTCGTTAGCGGTGGACGCGGAGGGTTCGCCTGCTGCGTCCGAATCATTGCTACCCGCCATTGTCGCCATGGACGGCAAGAGAGCAGCTAAGCTAAGTGGGATAAGCACGTGGTGAAGAAACCAAAAAGGCACGTGGTAAAGAGAAAAGAACCCTAATCGTAGAGCTTTGAGGTGTTGCCACTAATAAATCGATGAACGCATACTAAGCCTCCCGTAATTCCCTCACCTAGGGATTGACGTATGTTGATGTGATGTGATGGGATGGGATGCTTTTTGTAGCGGATTTTTCGCGGTTGTGGGAGTGGAGCAAGCCCAACAGTCTATAGAACCGAGTTTGTTCAGAATTCCTTATTATAAATATTTTTGTTCGGTTTTCCGAATTCGGATCAGATCGGCAAGTTCAAGGCGGAACGGATTTCAGATGCGTCGAAGGGTCACGCAGCAATGAACCATTTCAGCCAGAGAGAGGAATCTGCATTTCTCGGGGGTTTATGAGCTTGCTACTTTGTTAAGAGCCAGTTGACAATTTTGTGCTTAGTTAAACTACCCAACTACTAGCACCGCAAACTGAAATGCAACCCCCTGAAGGTCAGCATCCCATGAATCGCAACCAGTCCCAAGTTTTGAATTACTGAGGTTCGGCGTGGTTCGTGACCATTCGCAAATCTCGAACTGCTGCTTCGGACCCAAATCACGAACCCAGTTCAGTCGTAAATACCTCAGCGGTTGTTCCCCTAGTCGGTGCGCCAAGCAAATTCCCGCAGAACGATTAGCTTGTCCAGCTACGTCACTGCTAGTGATAAGCGCGCGTCTCTTGCCGTTTCGCCTACACTGAATCGGCTTTTCGCGTTTTGAGTTGAGACCTCTCAGACCCGAACGTCCCGGCCAAAACGATTGGGACGGGCAGGGCGGGGAGTGGCAGTTCGAGGCAGTGTCTGAGCTGACCAAGTCAGGACTTCGATAGCGCAGTGTGTTACCCGGCAATCGTGCTGGCTAGATCGCAGTGGGCGGAGCAGCACTCGAACCGTCAGCACAAACGGCCGGGCAGCACTCGAACCGTCAGCACAATCGGCCGGGCCGCACGCGAGCCGTCTAGACGATCTGCCGGGTAGCACGCGAGCCCTTGGTTCTGGCAGCAGCGCATGAGTTATTTTCTCGCCGCGTATTCAGCTCAGGCCGGGAGAATCTGACTTCAAGAAAAGCAGGGGGGTGCGGAGAGGAAGGGGGGAAGGAGGAGGAGGAGGAGGAGGAGGAGGAGGAGGAGGAGGAGGAGGAGGAGGAGGAGGAGGAGGAGGAGGAGGAGGAGGAGGAGGAGGAGGAGGAGGAGGAGGAGGAGAAAGAAGAAAAGGGGGACGGGTTTGAAGAGGGGGGACTTGCTAGGAGAAGAAGGAAAGAAGGTTAGGTTAGGGGTAAGAAGGCTAGCAAGCTTGTACCCTTAATAGACTCTTAATCACAAGGGAAGAAGCAAGGGGGGAACGCTAGGAGGCTAGGAGACTTGGAGGCTACAAGGCTTGCAGGCGTGGAGGCTAGGAGGCTTGGAGTTTAGGAGGCTTGGAGGCTGCGAGGCTAGGAGGCTTGGAGTTTAGGAGGCTTGGAGGCTGCGAGGCTAGGAAGCTTGGAGGCTTGGAGGCTTGGAGAGTAGGAGGCTTAGAGGCTTGGAGGGTATGAGGCTTGGAGGGTAGGAGGCTTGGAGACTTGGAGATTTGGAGGCTAGGAGGCTTGTGAGTTGTTAGTTAGTCACCTCTGAAGAAGGAGTTTGGGGGAACTGCTTGGAAGCTTGAAGCTTGGAAGTTTTGATCTGAGGCGCGGAAGCAAGGAGGCTTGGAAGCGACTACTGCTAAGAAGCTACTATTTGGAAGCCATGGCAGGGTCATCGCTGTCATCGCTGGAAAAGAGCATCCTGGAGCTGTGCCAGGAGAACCCCGAGGTAGGGAACGGACTGGTGAAGGGCAATGGGGATGCCGGGAGAACCCCAAGGTGAAATTGACATGGAAGCTTCTAAGAAGGCGTTGTAGTCTGAGCGTTGGCAGCGTCATCGCTGTCGTCGCTGGAAAAGAGCATCCTGGAGCTGTCTGTGCCAGAAGAACCCCGAGGTAGGGAGTCACGAGATCTGCGAGGTACGGGTTCAAGAGAACTGAATGCCCCTTGTATTTCATCCTGTGCTCTCCTTTCAGTTTGAAAAAAAAATCATCCACCTCACCTCAATGCCCTCGTGTCTGCATCCATTCCCTCTTATCCACAGCAAGCCGACTTTTCAGTGGACTCAAAAGTCCTTTCAGTTCGAAACTCTTTTCTTTATCCACCTCAATTCAATGCCCTCGTGTCTGCATCCATTCTCTCTTATTCACACCAATGCTATTATACCAAACTCCTGTCATGTCCATCCACCCCATCAAATCCTGCTGGGCCGTGATGAGGTTCAATGCCCCCGAGTCTGCATCCATTCTCTCTTATCCACACCAATGCTATTCTACCAAGCTCCTGTCATGTGCATCCACCCCATCAAATCCTATCCAGGGTAAATCGGATAAGATTCTTGAGTCGGAGCTCTCACATGTGCCCCCGGCCTGGCCTCTGACTTACTGACCCGCATTTTTTCTCTTTATTCGCCTCATTGCAAATCAAATCGAATCCAATCCAGGGTCTATCGGATAAGATTCTCGAGTCGGAGCTCTCATACGTGCCTCTGGCTGACCGAGTCAACGCCATCAATGGGCTGCTGCAAAAGGTATGGCTCTTGCCTCTGAGGTTGTTCGCTGCTGTGTGCGGTTTTGTGCGTGTGTATGATTGGGGATGCATGTGTGCCTGCCTCTGGCTGACCGGGTCAACGCCATCAATGGGCTGCTGCAAAAGGCATGGCTCTTGTGTCTGTGTGTTAACTTTTGTGAGGTTGTGTGCGTGCGTATGATTGCCGGTGTGCCAGTGCCATTGATTGGCTGCTGCAAAAAAGTTATGGTTCTTGCCATCCCCTTTCATCTTCTCTCAACCCAATCCACCCTCTTTCCCCTCGACTCCCTCTGCAATCTGCTTATCCTCTTTTGCGCGCCTCAATCTGTCCGTTTCCTACCCCCTCCCTCTCTCTCCATATCCCCCTCCACTGTGTTTTATCCTCTTTAGAGAGCACTTCAGCTGTTCAAATCAGGTGACACGCTCCTGTACAAGCATGTCAGCCAAGACCAAGCCGTGCAGTGAGTGCAGCTGGTGGTGACGATATGGCTATGTAACAATCATGCAATGTAACCATTATCAGATGTAACAATGTAACATGGCACCTGAAACGTGGCAATGGAACATGGCACCTGAAACGTGGCAATGTAACATGGCACCTGAAACGTGGCAATGTAACATGGCACCTGAAACGTGGCAATGTAACATGGCACCTGAAACGTGGCAATGTAACATGGCACCTGAAACGTGGCAATGTAACATGGCACCTGAAACGTGGCAATGTAACATGGCACCTGAAACGTGGCAATGTAACATGGCACCTGAAACGTGGCAATGTAACATGGCACCTGAAACGTGGCAATGTAACATGGCACCTGAAGTCAGGTGGCACGCTCTTGTACAAGCACGTGAGCCAAGACCAGGTGGCGTGAGTGCTGCTGATGACAATATGGGGATGTAATGTATGTAACAGTGTGGCAATGTGACGTGGCACCTCACATTGGGTAGACACGCTCTTGCACAAGCACGTGAGCCGAGACCAGGTGGCGTGAGTGCTGCTTCCCTGCCTCCCTTTCCAACCTCCCATTCCATGCCTCCACTCCCACACCCTTCATTCCATAGCTGTCATTCCAAACCTGTCATTCCAAGCCTGTCATTCCAAGCCTGTCGATCCAAACCTGTCATTCCAAACCTGTCATACCATGCCTGCCGTTCCCTACATCGATTTTCACAGCTCCCGTTCCATGCCTCCCTTTCCATACTTGCCATTCCATACCTCCCTTTCCATACCTGTCATTCCAAACCTGAAATTCCAACCTCCTCCGTGTCCCCATCCCACCAGGTTCAAGGGGTTGAGCCCAGAAGATCTTCTGTTGTATCAAGCCATCAAGCAAGCAGGCAATGCAGGTGTGCAAGGAAGAGGGCAAAACAGGTATAGGCGTCTTGCTGTGTGCTGCTTGCTGCGTGTGTCTTGCTGTGTGCTGCTTGCTGCGTGTGTCTTGCTGTGTGCTGCTTGCTGCTCGCTCCTTTCAAGGGGTTGAGCCCAGAAGATCTCGTACTGTAACAAGCCATCAAGCAAGCGGGCAATGCAGGTAAGCAAGCATTAAGCAGGCAGGCTCATTTATCGGGCAGGCAGAGGCTGCATGCATGCATGCATGCGGCATTTTCCTTTTCTTTGCTTCCCCAACCCACTCGACGAGCATCCGGATCCGTGATAAGACGTCATGCACCAACCTGCATCACGTGTTTGAAGAAGTGTTTTGAGACGTCTCAAAACAGCCCACCTGTCCTCTTTTGACGAGCATCCGGATCCGTGATAAGACGGCATGCACCAACCTGCATCACGTGTTTGAAGAAGTGTTTTGAGACGTCTCAAAACAGCCCACCTGTCCTCTTTTGACGAGCATCCGGATCCGTGATAAGACGTCATGCACCAACCTGCATCACGTGTTTGAAGAAGTGTTTTGAGACGTCTCAAAACAGCCCACCTGTCCTCTTTTGACGAGCATCCGGATCCGTGATAAGACGTCATGCACCAACCTGCATCACCCCACATCACTCTTTTTTGCTACCTCCACTCCTGCCCTATCCGACTGCCTTGCCTGTTCACAACCCCCACCACCATTTTTCAATACAACCCCACATTGGAGAGGCATCTGGACACGGGACATGAAGACTCGCACCAACCTGCAGCAGCCGCAGATCGTGCTCTTGTCCTGCCAACGCTGTGCTTTCCCTCTCTCTCACCCCCACCACAATGCTTTAATATCCTCCCTGCCATACCTACCCCCATCCAACAGGCATCTGGACGCGTGACATGAAGACTCGCACCAACCTGCAGCAGCCGCAGATCGTGCTCTTGTCCTGCCAACGCTGTGCTTTCCCTCTCTCTCACCCCCACCACGATGCTTTAATATCCTCCCTGCCATACCTACCCCCATCCAACAGGCATCTGGACGCGTGACATGAAGACTCGCACCAACCTGCAGCAGCCCACATCACCCGCTCTTACTGCCCGCTCTTCCCACCGTACTTTATCCCCTCTCTCCATCCCAACAGGCATCTGGACGCGGGACATGAAGACTCGCACCAACCTGCAGCAGCCGCAAATCACCAAAATCATTAAAACGCTGGAGGGCAGGAAGCTTATAAAGGCAGTCAAGTCGGTCAATGTGAGTCAAGCTGGTCAATATGAGACAAAACAGTCAAGTTGGTCAGTGTGGGTCAAGGCAGTCGACCCAGCAGCGGCAGATCACCAAGATCATCAAAACGCTGGAAGGAAGGAAGCTGATAAAGGCAGTCAAATCGGTCAATGTGAGTCCATGCAGTCAATGTGAGTCCATGCAGTCAATGTGAGTCCATGCAGTCAATGTGAGTCCATGCAGTCAATGTGAGTCCATGCAGTCAATGTGAGTCCATGCAGTCAATGTGAGTCCATGCAGTCAATGTGAGTCCATGCAGTCAATGTGAGTCCATGCAGTCAATGTGAGCCAAACTAGCCAACTTGAGACAAGGCAGTAAAGTCAGTCCGTCAGCGTGAGTTAATGTAACCAACTGCATTAATGTAACCAACTGCATTAATGTAACCAACTGCATTAATGTAACCAACTGCATTAATGTAACCAACTGCATGGGAGAGGTGACGAGAGGCGACAGAAAGGAGGGGGACAGTTGACTCACGCTGACGGACTGTGAGTCAAGGTAACCAACCTGCAGCAGCTGATCTTGTGACATTCTCAGTGTGAGTCAAGGTAATCAACCTGCAGCAGCTGATCTTGTGACATTCTCAGTGTGATTCAAGGTAATCAACCTGCAGCAGCTGATCTTGTGACATTCTCAGTGTGAGTCAAGGTAACCAACCGGCAGCAGCGGCAGACCACCAAGATCATTAAAACGCTTGAGGGAAGGAAGCTGATAAAGACGTCTATGGTAGTCAATGCTGTCAGCATGATTCCATGCAGTTGATGCTAGTCGAGCTGAAAGCGCTACATGATGTACGAGCTGGAGCCGTCTCGGGAGGTGACAGGAGGGGCATGGTACGCCGATTCCGCCATTACCTTCCCTCATTTATCTCTGTGCTGCCTACGTTCCCTCTGTTCCTGTGGTTCTGCACTCTTGAAGAACAAGAGTCGCAAGCTCTACATGCTATACGAGCTCGAGCCATCCCGGGAGGTGACGGGAGGGGCGTGGTACACCGACGCTGAATTCGACGCCGAGTTCATTTCGGCTTTAAGGCAGCTGTGCCTGACACACATCGTCAAGCTGGTACGTGCTTGTCTCTCTCGATCCTCACGTGCTGATGGAGGGAGGGAGGGAGGGTGGAAGGGAGGGAGGGAGGGAGGGAGGGAGGGAGGGAGGGAGGGAGGGGCTCTAGAGGGAGGTGACAGGAGGCGTCTCAGTCAGAACTAGGCTATACAGTACTACATGTGTGTACCACTGGTTGTGCTTCTAAGGACGTGACGAGGGGGAGAGAGAAGGGTGGGGATTTTTGAGCGATACGTGGCTGTCGGAAGTCGGCGGGATGGAAGGCCACGTGTGCAGCATGTGAGCACACATAGTCAAGCTGGTCATACAACGATACATGTGCCTTGCTGTTAGCACATATATACAGCCCATGATTTGGGGCTTTCCAAAATTTCAAAATGTGAGACGTCTCAAAATTTTCACCTTTTCCAGAAGCTGGTGATACAACGATACATGTGCCTTGCTGTTAGCACATATATACGATGGTGTGGGCTGGTGGCTTGGTGGCTCGGAGGCTCGGTGCCTTGGTGGCTCGGTGGTGGCTTGGTGGCTCGGTGGTTCGGTGGCTCAGTGGCTCGGTTCAGTGACTCGGTGGCTCGGTGGCTCTAGAGGGAGGTGACAGAAGGGGTGTGTTACACCGATGATACGTTGGGAGGGAGTGGGTGGTGGAGGCGGTGAGGAGGGCTGTCATTCGGGATGGACTCTTATGTCCTTCCCTTTCCTTTTTCTCTTTCCCCTTTTCCTCCTTCGCGCTTTCCCTCCTGTACGCTCGAGGGGGCGGTGGAGGCCGTGAGGAGGGCTGGCAGTGGGGGCAGACTCTCGTGCCCTTTCCTTTCCCGTTTCCTTTTTTCCTCTTCTCTTTCCCCCATTGTGCGCAGGGAGGCGATACGCTCGAAGGGGTGGTGGAGGCCGTGAGGAGGGCTGGCAGTGGGGGCAGGGAGGACCTGAGAATGGAAGACTTTAGACAGGTGGGTGGGAGGAGGGGGGAGATTAAGGGAGAGAAGTGGAAGGGAGAAGAGCAGTGAGGCACCATGGGGACAGTGGGGGCAGGGAGGACCTGAGAAGGGAATACTTTAGACTGGTGGGATGAGAGGCGGGGAGAGGGGAGAAAGGGAAAGGGTGTATGACAGTGGTTGCTTTGAAACGGGGAAGGAAGGGAGGACGTGAGAATGGAAGGTTCAGACAGGTGAGGTGAGGAGAGGTGAGGAGAGGGGAGAGGGGAGAGGGGAGAGGGGAGAGGGGAGAGGGGAGAGGGGAGAGGGGAGAGGGGAGAGGGGAGAGGGGAGAGGGGAGAGGGGAGAGGGAGGGGTGTATGACTGATTAGTTGAGTCCTCTTGCACAGTGGGTTCAATTGGGGCAGAGTGTGGGCAGATTTGGGGCACAGTTGGGGCAGAGTGGGGCCAGCGAGTGGGGTAAAACTGCAGACAGATGGGTCGGAAGGAGTTGAATGGAGTGGAGAGAGGATCAGAGAGGAGTTGAGAGGAGTGGAAGGGAGTTGAATGGACGTTTCATGAGCAAGGAAGGCTTGAAGATGGCCCTTGACGAATCAGTGTGTTCTTTGGAACTTCTCAAACAATGTTTGCAACCCACAAACGACTAGCCACATGCCACATGCCACATGCCACATGCCACGTGCTTCATCCAATCATACCCCCCTGGCCCCCCCACCCGCCACACCACACCACACCACAGCACACACACATCAGGCCATCAGCACTCTTGTCTTCGATCGAGATTTGGATGTCTTCACCAGCACTGGCTCTGGCAAGGACTCTCACCCTCCTATCGCTCTGTCTCCCCTCCCCCCCCCCCCCCCACCCCCCCCCCACACACACACACACCACACCACATCAGGTCATCAGCACTCTTGTCTTTGATCGAGAGTTGGACGTCTTCATCAGCACTGGCTCTGGCAAGGACTCCCGCTTCCCCGTGGTGAGCATTTTTTCTCCTCCACTCTTGATTCCCCACCCCACTATAAGTGTATCAGTCGCCGTCGCTGTTCATAAATACGGGCTCCGGCAAGGACACCCGCTTTCCCCTGGTGAGCAACCCCTCAGGAAACCCTTCAGGAAACCCCTGAGAAGAATGGATAGTTTCTATCCACGCCCGAAGGTCCAACACACCCTTCTACCTTTCCAACACATTTTCACCTTCTTCCACACCTCCACCTTCCACCACACCTCTCTCCACCGTACCCCACCTGCCAGGGAGCAGAGGTGTACCGGCCATCGAGGTCTCGAGCTCCAGAATCATCCGCATTCACCAACATACCCTGCGGCGTCTGCCCTGTGAGTCACTGATTCAGATTCTGCCTGTTTGACTGCCCAACTCTGCTGCCTCCACATTCACCAACATGCCTCCTGGGTTCTGCCTTGTGAGTGACTGTTTCGGTTCGAATGATTGTTTTTGTGCTGAATCCTTTGCCCTTTCCGGCTTTGTGCTTTTTGTGCATCCCAATATTCCATTATTCGTATTCTTTAAACTAAACTATTCCCTTCATCCTATCTTCATTTTGTTAACATACTCCAACTTTCCCTGCCTTGTTGAGTTTGAATGGTGGATATTCATTAAGGGCTCCCCACTTGGTAGATTGATATTTGCAGTTAATCACAAGAAAACTCCCTTTATTGTCCCCTTCATCTTTCCCCTTACTCGTTTCCTTCACTATTGTCACAATCTCAGGTTATCAACGAGTGCTCGGATGGAGGCATAATTTCTCCTCAGACGTGCGTCTACTTTCAACAGTACCTCAACTTCTAGCGCCGTCATCTCGTGCCACATCACCATCTGCCCCATCGTCATCCACCAGATTACCGTTCCGTCACATCAGCATCTGCCATGTCACCATCTGACATATAATCCCAACAGGTTAATCTTCCACAATCGTTAGCAGGAGCTAGTGATTGCAGCAATCTGAGGAGTGTGGGCAGATGCTGTTGGACACATTGGCAGAAAAGTCAACACCGGTTGTGCTTTCTCATTATATGCACTAGGCATTGAACAGCAATCCGGATTTTGGTCTGGTTTTCTAACACAAGGTTTCTATCTAACCTGCCTTCGCCTCAGCCCAAGGCAAAACGCCCCGTTTGCGCTGACTTATGAAACAAGACTCGACGTTAACGTCGGACGGGTTGCGTAGATGTTACATTCCACATTGACAAAAAAAAAAGAGGAAGTGCAGTTTTGTTTCCTTATTTAGCGCCAATTTTAGGTCTACCGTATTAAAGAATGTTACGAATAGTAATATTTGATATTACTAAAGCACTCCTCACCGTAGCAAGGCACGCACAATATCGGGAACAAACGCGAAGCGTCAGAGAGTTGGAATTGAGTCGAAGAGTCGGACGGTTGCAGTACATCTGAACCGTCGGAAGGAAACGGCATCGAACAACTACAAGGAGGATGGTTTTGGCGGGAACAGTTTCGAAACTGTACGTGCCGAACGGTTGGGATGCATTTGAATAAGGGAATGTACCTCTTAGAGTACATGGCTAGTTAGGTCGTTTCGAATTCCCTTGTACTCATATTTATATTGCTGTATTTGCATGTTTTTATAATCTCAAGCATTTCACATTCACTCTGCTATTGAGGTCACGGGCCCACCAACACTACTTACTACGTGCGAACCTACCAGAGTAGATCCTGGGTTACGATCAACTTCTGATCGCAACATGGTATCAGAGCGACTCTGGAATCCTTCGCACCATTACTACCGAAAATTGCGACATCTGAAAAGTGGCGACCGGCACACGATCTCGCACGAGGATGGCCGGAGGATCTGGTGGTCAGACTAATCTGACGGCTGAAGCACAACCCAACCCGGCTGGGCCAAGCGGGAACACGACGACAATCGACTCCGAAGTTCTCGCACAACTTCTTCAGCGACTCACCAGCTTGGAGCAAGGACTCCAAACATTGCGGAATGGCGATGCGGGAACCTCCTCGCAACCCTCTCAACCGGCCCCGACTGGCCAAAACACCGCCCCGCAAACATTCTCCCTCGACACCAATGGCTCAACCCCTAAGACTCCCCGTCCCAGTGAAGAGGCAATTCTCTCCGCTCAATCAAGGTTTCTCAGCATATCAAAAATAAAGACAAGTACCTGTTTTGACGGCAGAGACTTCTATACCTGGAGCTTCGAATTGGAGCTCCTGCTGCAGAACGCCCAAATCTTCCACTACTTCGACGGGAGCTACGCGGAGACTGCTGAAGACACCGACGACGCCAAAACGAGGTACTACAACGAATCGTTGATGGCGTACGGAGTGCTCCTGCGGAATATGTCGGCGGCGGAGCAGCTCAACATTCGTTCGTATTAAACGACAGCTGCTCCAGCCCTCAACGCCTGGCGACATCTGACGGGCGTGTATCAGCCCAAGGACTCCGTGTCCTCGAGCCGACTACTCCAGGAACTACTGGAAACCAAGATGACCTCAGGGGAGAAGGTCAACAACTATCTTAACCGCTGTCGGAGCCTTCGCGATCAAATCGTGAAGTTGGGAAGCACGATATCGGAAGAAATCTTCGTCAACATCGTGCTTCAAGGGCTCGGCCCAGAGTGGCGGCCCTGCAAGGCGCTTCTCCGACAGCAGGGGGTCATCTCGGAGGCCTCCCTTTGCGCCGCCCTTCTCGTCGAACAAAGGGATATGGACCAGCAGCGACCAGCGCCACGACGAGAACGCGAACGGCTCGCCTTCTACGCCGACAACAACGAAGAGTGACGTCCGAGGCGCCTCTACTGCAAAAATTGCAGAAATTTCGGGCACCTTGCGGATCGATGAAAATTCCGATCTCGCCCTCGCCAGTCCAATCCGAGCACTTGGACCGGCCGACAAGACGCACGAGGCGACGTGCGTCCAGCCCAGGGACAACAACTCCCACCTGCGCGCAACCTGAACCCAGCGGTTCAGCACCAGCAGCAGCAGTCGTCATCGACTGCACCAGTTCGCAATGTCATGAGCAACATGACCATGACAAGCAAGTCGCGTCGCCGCCGCATGCGCTCACCCTCTCCCGAGCCAGCACCTCACCCCATCGGCGCGTATACCAACAACAACCCCTTCAGCTCGCGCCGCGACTACACCGACGACGACGACCAAGACTGGAATCTCCCAGTCCCGCTGCTCGAAAGTTCCCCGCACGTTCCTGATATGCGGGTGGCGCCACTTGATTGGCTCACGCGCGAACAATTTCTTAAGTTCGACACCCCGCATATCGTCACGCCGCGACTGGCGCTGCTCGCACGTGACGATAACAAGCGCTACAACACCTGGTACCTGGACAGTTGCTGCGGCCAGCATATGGTGGGCTCCGAGCGTTACATATCCAACGCCGTCCCCACTCCTACCGTCACCTACGTCACTGTGGCGAACAATACACGCCTGCGTGCAAGCGCGCAAGGCATCGTCGTGCTCAAGGCACACGGAAGCCGCACCCACATCACACTCAACGACGTGTTGATCGTCCAGAACCTGCGCTTCAACATGCTGTCCGCCGCCCAGCTTATGGAATGCGGTGTCGACCTCAGCACGGACCACGCGACGCGTGACATCCTGCTGCACTACGAAGCTCGGAACTTCCCCCGCAGGCAGATCGGACGAGCGCGCTCCGAAAATGGAGTATACGTCCTAGATTTTGACATCCCCGACTGCAGCGGCGACTCGCACGAACTAATCGACCTCGTGCCACTACGCTTCGAGCACATCCACAGCAGGGATTGGAAGCACCCGGACGGCAGACCGTGGGTCGTGCACCATCCCCACCCACGCGAAACAGCACTTCACAATCCCGATCCGGACGGAATATGCAGGGATTGTCACACACCGACGACTTCGTCGAACGCGATCGCCGGCCGGGGACTCGCCACCATCGCTGAGGCAGAGCGCCACATGCCCCCAAAGGAAGGGATGTCGCAGCTCGAGCTCAAAATCGCTACCCACGGCGTCTTCGGCACGCCGGAACATCCCCTCATCGGTTCCCCCTCGCAAAACCTTCAAGGGATGCTGCGCGGAACTGGCGTCGGCACCTTCGATGCCCGTGGCGAGCCGCGACCCTACACCTACGAAAAATTCTTGGAGATCTACCCTCACCAACACGATTCGACGAAGAAGCTCACCGCGGAACAAGAGGAAAACTTGGCGCGCTGCGAAGCTGAAGAGCTTCGCCAACTAAGCCTCGCAGAGGCACGCGGGACCTTTGCTTGTGCTGCCTGGGGAGGTGAAGCGGCAGAAGATGACTCCAACGAAGGAGGATGGGGAACAAGCGACGCTAGCGGCTGGGGAGACAGCGGCGGATGGGGCGCCGCAACTGGTGCCGACAACAGCGTTTGGGGTACTCTCCGCGAAGAACGAAGGGGGGGAGAAGACGAAGTCGAGGAAAGTCAGGCAACACCCGCAATCGTTCCTCTCAGTCGTCCCCCGCGCCACGTTCGACTCGCACTACCCCCTCCTGACAACCCCCCGAGCCGCGACCCATGGGACACTATCACCTGGGGCAAAGAACCGTCAACACCGCGTCGCACCGCCTACGGACCTGCCCCAGAACACCGCGAACCCACACTCGTCCCTGGAACTATCCCTGGGACTAACATCCCACTTTCCGAAATTAGGGATAGGGGATTCCTGGCGCTGATGCTGACCACCGCAACAGAAGAAGAATCAGAGGAAGCAGCAACGCAACCAACCCCCGCACCTGACGAAGACCCCGAGGAAGCACGCGCACGCTACATGCGCACTTCCGGCTTTCGCGGTGACGTCACACTCTGGCATCAGCGGCTCGTCCACCCTTCCCGCGCAACGCTGAAAAACTGCATCGACGCAGGCGTCTTCGCTCCTAGCGCACTCCTGCGCCCCGATGGTTCCGAAGTAAGCGGCGCAACACACCCGCGCAGCTGCACCGTCTGCCCTGAAGCTGCGCTGAGCCACCAACCGTTCCCGCTACTCGAACCTGGAACGAATCGCTACCCCAAACTGCACAAGGTGTACAGCGATTTCCTGAACGTGGGGCATTGCGGAGTCGACGACGAGATGTACACACTCACCTTCATCGATGCCGGCACGCGTTACGTATGGGTCGTGAATGTGGAGACGCGCGACAGAGCATACGAAGTATTTCGGCTTTGGCTGGCGCATGCGGAGAGGCAATCCGGGAAGAAACTCAAGATCTGGCAATCTGACGGCGCGGCAGAATTCAGGAGCAACCAGATGCAGACCTTCCTGGCACAGAAGGGGATCGAGCACCACATCTCCCTCCCCTATGCGCACCAACAACAGGGCGTAGCCGAACGGACCAATCGCACACTGATGACGAAGGTGCGCGCGCTAATGAAGCAGTCGAAATTGCCGCCGATCTACTGGACCTACGCGATGCATCACGCCGTGCGGGTGCACAACCTCCTTTCGACCACCGCAATCACCGGCAACCTTTCTCCGCACGTGAAATGGAGCGGAACCAAAGGAGACACCTCCATGCTTCGAGTATGGGGATGCATGGTCCAATACCGCCCGCCGACCTCAACCATCGGCAAGTTCGCCAGCCGCGCACGCTGGGGAATCCACCTTGGCATCAGTCACGAGCACAAAGCGTGGATCGTGCTGGACCTCCTCAGCCAGAAAACAACCCACGCTCGCGACGTCATCTTCTACGAGCGCCTCTTCCTCGACCAGTTTCGTCACGACGAGCAGACGAATGCGAATCGCGTCTACGCCAACGACGGTCACAGTTACGCAACGCCCGAAGATGAAGCCGCTGCAGCAATCTT